AGAGGTAAAAAACATAAATGAGCAACTTCATACAAAATTGCAATTTTGTCGTTCCCCGCATGTCCAAAGTTCGCCATTTTTGCGCTACCCAATTACCTCTTCTGTCGGGATTTAGGCCAACACTATTTTATTAAAATTACGCCACATCTCTACGTGACGATAATTAAACGTTGGACGCGAACTCGTCATAACGGCCAAATCGCATTATTTTAAGCATCGTAGATTTATAAATACAAATCTAATTTTACTCAACATTCTATTTATGTAGAAACTGGAGATGTCACAACTTGAACACGTAAGAGTCGATCCGATTAAATGCGAATTCAAAAGCTTTGTGGAGTAGTTTTGTGCAATAATTGCAATTTTTTTCATTTTGAGGTATTTTTAGATTTGAGATTATCTTAATGTTAAATTTAGCAGTTAATGGGCTATTAAACACGTGATGCGTGGATATGGTGCACGCAATTAAATAAACAGGTGAGTGAGTAAATTGAAAGAGCAGAGTTGCATAAAATTTTTCTTCTACAAATCGAGGAAAATTTTTGGATTAAATTACCTAGTGACTAGACAAAATGAAATAAATAACAAGATTATTGAAGCATTGACCATTGATAATATGTAATTCTATTAAGGCCAGGAAAAGGAAACAACAAACAACAAAATTAAAAATCTTGACACGCATACCAAAACCTGCATTCAGAAAATAATTATGTTTTTGATACTATCCGAGGACATTTCAATGCCTGTAATTTAAAAATAATACATTAGTTATGTGTATGTCTGACATGTATTTTCCATTTTCCAAGAAAAATCTTTGTAGCAATTTGCGTCAAAACATCTCTCAACTACTTTTTTACACTCTGCAAACATCACCGAATGGAAAAATGTCACTCGGAGAAGAAATCACACCAAATCTAATCCACAATTGGATCGCGAATAAGACTGTCGTAAAAAAAATCCCGAATCGTAAAATGTATCAGTGTGAGCTTAGCGTCTTTTCAGACAGAGAATAAAACGATTTTTTGTTGGAATAGTTGTGAAAAAATTTATTCAGGTAATGTTTGTAATATACACATCAGGTGTAATCTGATTTGAGATAATAAAGAATGTTTGTGGGAGGATGTGTAATGGTAAAAGTAGGCAGTAATGAGGTTTTATTGAGCAAATATTGATTCTCTAACGTAATTTCGTATTCTAGAGCAAGGGTTTCGATTCCATAATTATTTACAAATAAAATAAAAAAGCGAAAGTTTAATTAAATAAACAGAACTGCAATTGTTGACAAAAATAACAAAAGACAAACCATTTAAATTTTAATTGCATTATTTGATCCGAAAAAATTACATTTATGATTAATTATTTACAACTCATTATTTCAAAAGTGAATGTTGTTGCACATTATTGTTACAAAAAGTGCTTTTGTGAACAATGATTCAGTTGAAGAAATTTAATAGACTGAAAAACGAAAAAAAGCACAACTGAGAATCTAAATATTATTTGAAACAGTTTATAAATGTAAAATTTATTTTGAATAATATCAACAAAGGCGCTTCAAAACACTTCACCGAATTTACGAGCTATTAATCTGTCAAATGTTCCCAACATTTTCGAATTCCCTTTCAATTCTCCTTTGGCCCTTTTCCAAAATTTCCTTCACCTTTCTCTTGCTCGAAGTTTTTCCAACCGAAGCAATATAACACCGGTCAAATCCTGACCTTAATAATTTATCGATTCTGTGGCTGTATACCACGGACAAAATAACAAATATTTAATTGCAATGAGTCGAGTCCACCAATTCATTATTAATCAATTCGGCATGTTCACCCTGGCACCGAGCCAAAGCGTCATAATACCGTTAAAAAATCCAAAAAATTGATCAAACATTTACATATTTATCCCTGCTTTGTGGTCACGATATCCGACTCTAACAACGCGTTTCCTTTTAATAAATTCTGCGGTTATTTTAATAACGCAAGTGATAAGATTAAGGCACTGTTTTATCGATTATGTGTCGCCGGAAATTTAAAATTATGCCCTCGATTTTACAGCGTGGGATTTGTTTAAAACGAAGAAGTTGGAATCGTATTGGAGTGGCTTCGAGCGTTTCTTCCGCAATTTCGCTTAAATTTTTAAATTCTGCTTACGTTTCCGTCCATCCCGAAATGTATTTTAGAAAGTGCAGCAAATTTCGCAATAATTTTTAATGTCCGATTCATTTTCAAGAACTCTTTCAATAAATGGCTACAATTCTCTGTCTGGACTGTTTATGGCTTTGAGTTATAAGTATTTTATATCTAGGACATAAAACCGCACGAGTGTATTCCGACTTTGTGTAACAATGGCAAAGTTTTCGATTTATGACGCTTTAAGCTTTGCTACAATGTGACATTCCAGACGAAAATTTCAAACATTTACACATAAAGACTTTGTCTAATATCCAGCAAATTATTAATTTTGTTAAATCTACAAAGGAGTAGTAAGCTTAAAACAAAGTCAAGCTTTAAAGCTGTGACCCAGCCCAGTACAAGTAAAAATTTTATCCCTTATCAACAAAAATTTGAGTCAAATTAGACATTAGACACCCATTAACTAAGTATAAAATCATCTCAAATCCACTTAAATACAATGCAAAAAGCTTATTGCCAAGAAAGTTTGGCATAAATACAATTTAAAATAGTAGAAGTAGTACTAAAACATTAAATGAGGAGCAGACTTTCAAAAAGCGTTTTGTACAAATTTGCATTTTTGCAGGAGAGAACAAAAACTGTCCTTGTTTTAAGAAATAATTTTAATTTTTTATATCAATGACAACAAATGTGAAAAAATATGTACAAATTGGACACTAATTTTACGGCTGGAGTACTTCAAAAAAACTTTAAAAACCTTCATCTCAATTCATAAAAACATAGACAAACTGCATTTTGAAAATCTGCTCCTCAAATATTCTAATAATTAGTTTGGTTGATTCATATGAATTCAGTTTCAATTCTTGGTAAATATGAGCTTTTAGATATTATACTCAGCTATGGAAAAATAAATTTAGTTTAGGTTTGCATTTAGCGACTTCATTTTCGAAAACTGATTTTGAAATTTAAAAAATCGATTTATAAATATAAAGCTTGTACTTTAACACAGAGAGAAATTACAAAAATTTTAAGCTGCTTTGGTCTCTAGTTGAAAATTTATGTCTAGGTTAACGTTTTGAAGAATAATAAAAACTCATTCATTTTAGGCGGAACAATTTTCAATAATATTAAACAGTTCCTTGATTTTTTATTAACAATCAGATTCAATGCAATTTTTCTCAAAACTGTAATTTTTGAGTTACTATAGTTTTCGTTGGTCGATTTTCTAGGTGAAAATACTAAATGCTAAGTAAAAATACTCAATGCTAGGTCAAAATACTAAACGTTAAATAAAGATAATAAACTTTTATTATAAAAAACTATTACTAAACAAAAACAAACGTAAATTAAAAAAAAAATGTTGTCATTGCAGGGAAATGGTAAAAACAGGCATGAACAATCCTTTAACGTAGAAAATGATGTGTTTTTATTACAGTAACAATGTAAAAAATGTATAACTTAATATACAGGCTGAACAAAAAGTATGGAACCAAGCGGTTTTATTTTTAATCATTTGCCTCCAGAAAACAATAATTAATATAAATTAAAGTAATATAAAAAATGTGATCGTATTTTCAAAACGAAATTTTGTTTTGTTTTTGAGTTATGCGATTTTTCTTTGTCAAAATGGCAATTTATGTGAAATATTTTTTTTTGATAAAATTAAATATGATAGTTGTAATCCTTACAGCATAGCTTTTATCAGAAAAATGATTTTATAGTGGGTTGTCATCTAAAAAAATATTTTTTTTTGTAGAACTCAAAAACAAAAGGAAATTTGGAAAAAAATTATTCTTGTTAAATCATCACATTTTTATAGTACTTTATCACTCATCAATTAGTTTTGTCAAAAAATAAATAGTTTAAGCAAAAAACGTTGGTTCCATACTTTTTATTCAACTGGTATGTACGTATGTATGTATAACTTATAAATGTATAACTTCAAATAATTATTATAGGTAGTTGTTTAGTATTGAGGTGTGGTGACACCTTAATACTTAATACATACTTAATAATAATAAATACCAATAATAAATTATATTTTTGTGCAAGAGCCATACATATCTGGATATAGAATTGTTCAGTGAGTGATTTTGAGTGCTTAATACCTTAAAAGATAAAAATTGGTTCCACTTTTTTACACATAACAAATCTTATTTTAATACTTAGCATTCCTACTTAGTATTTACATTATTTCACTTAGCAAATCAATATTATTTACTTAGTACTTAATTACTAGCCTTATATTTTCTGATATTGTCATTTCTTATGCTAAATATCAGTATCGATAAAAAAAAGTAATTACTCGTACATACTATTCAAATCGTTAAAACAATTAATCCTTCTCAAATAAAGGGAATGGGGAAAAATAAACAGATTTTCTGAAATAAATCCTTTCTTATTTATTTATCTGGTAAAAAAAATATTAATTGCTAAGGACTTGCAAATTCTGGGTCATTCCACATAAAATTTTATAAGAATTTATTCTTTTTCTGATAGTCAGTTTGTGTAAAATAACCTTTTTCGATTCAATTTTGTATTATGTAGGCAAAGAGTTGCTGTAATTATGTTACACAATTTTGTAAATGTAACTAAAAATACTGAGATAAGTTGAGGTATGTATGCGCCATCTGGGTGGATTGTCAAGTGGTGTAAATATTTTGAAAAATAAATTCCGCCTTCCTCTGGAAATTTTAACAAAGTAGCACAAATTTCTATCCACTATCGATTATCAATTCAATCAATAAATCGCCAAGTGCCAACCTTTCCCCAAAAACCCTCAATTCCATCCAAATTCATCTTGTAATTTTGACATTTTGCCCCCCGGTGGGCGTAACTTCTCCTCGTCATCACTCCAGACACCTCGTCTCTTACCAATATCCTCCCTGTGGTCGTCTGTCCCGAAATCAGCTCTCCCGCCCAGTCCTTGGCCTCCGTCATGAAAGTCCCTTCGAACTCCTGCTTGCCCTGCCTGGCGGCCTTCTGCTCCTTCTGCTTCGGGTCATTGGGCCCGTATTGCACCTCTTTGCGGCAGCAGAGGAAGGCGAACAGCCGCCACACCAGCACGATGAGGAGGCCGGCCAGGAAGGTGAAGATGCTCGAAAGGAGGAAGCACCAGTATTTCCTTTCGTCGAGACATGGGTCTGGTGTGGCGGTGCTGGAGATGGGCGGCTCAGTCGCCGCCTCTTCGCTCGTCATCCCGCGCTAGGCGGCATCCACTCGCGCCACCTTACACTCACCGAGGTGCTCGCATCTGCGGCGACGGAGACGTGGTGTCGACAGCGAGCAGCTTCGAGCGCAACTGACGCGACGCCGACGTCGCCCCGCTATACAGGATCATGCGGGAATCAATACGAAGGACGCCCTGGCGGCGTGCGCCGAGACGATACCACAGAGGCGGCGCGGATAACGACACAATCTTTGGCATGACAGACCTGAACTCACTTGACTTTTCGTGGAAGCAGTACCAATAGCGGATCTAACAAAACGAAAATCTAGTACGATAAAAACATATTGAACAACGCAAAATAGAAGGAGATACTAAAATATGTAGTTATTTTTGTTACAAATACCTAAAATTCCGTTTTTGCGGACTAATCATTGCTGTTTCCGGACGAGGCAAATGAATCCGCAAAAACGTTTTAGATATGTACATGTTATTAACCATTTTTTTGTTAAAGCTGCCAAAAAACCAATTCACATCTCTTATTAATTAAAAAAAATCACCTCCATAGTAATCAAATTGATTTTTTCGCCTGGAAAAACTGTTTTTGGGGAATTAACCATTTTACGTAATATTTTATTGAGTTCGGAAAAAAAACTTATTTTAGGGACTGAAATGAGTCCCTAAAATAGCTATTTTCGCGAGCGGTTTTGCTTAAACTATTTATTTTCTAGAAAAACTAATTTATGAATGATAAAACACTAAAAAAATGTAATTAAATTTTTCGAAATTTTCTTTTGTTTTTGAGTTCTACAATTTTTTTTATTTTTTTTAATGGCAACCCAAATACACACACTGGCAAAGTTAAAGGATAACGGAGAGAAATTCGATTTCTTTGGGGATTATTGTTCTTAACATTTTTAAGAACCTTTAAAAGCAAAGTTAAACTAACTAATAATTACAATACATTTTGCGTAACATTGATTGGTTTGAAGACTGTTAAAAAATAAAACCAAAATCTCTATTTCTGGTGAATTTAATGTTAGTACAAAAGAAAAAATCAATAAACAACAGTAATACAAAAGTAGTTAATGTATGTATACAATAAAAAATGTAAAGAAAATAGTACATACATGTCCAAAGTTGCAAAATGCTTAAATTTGTTAAGTTTTGAAAAATAATACACTACCTACTGTTAAACTTTAAAAAAATTCCAAAACAATTTTTTATAAAAATCACTTTTAAAATTTGCATGAATGCTCGTAAATCCAGTGCTGAAAGAAGCTTGGCGGATCAACTTTTAATTAATTCAATTAATGAATAGTCTCAAAAATTAGTCAGTATTGTTTCTTGATTTTTTTTACAAATCTTCAAAAAGTATAAAAAGATCGATTTTGTTTTTCAGATTTAATATGCAAAATTGTGAAAAAAATTGAAAATAATTGCTTTTTTCATTTTATTGATAAAGGTTAGGTACACAACATTCAGAAATTAATTGTAATTAATTAATTCCATCAATCCAAATTGATGCTGAATGAACACGCTATTCGGCCCATACATTAATTTAGCTAATAAAAGTTTCCCCATGACCAAAAAAAAAAAGAATAAAAAAAATTAGATTTTTTTCGCACTCTTTCTTAGGATTGTGTAATAATAACCGTAGTTCAAAAAATGTTTGATAAAAGATCTCAAAAAACTTGAAGCTTCCAAATGTTTTTTTTTAAATCCAAAGACGACCATTTTTCATTGAAGTACCGTCTTTCAAAAATGACCATAAAACTTAAGAAATGTTTTTGTTTCCTAAATTTTTTTGGAATAGTAGGTACAAGTATCTATATAAAAAATTTATGTAGAATGTTTTCTCGTTTTAAAGTATTTGAGCTAATAAGAGATCTTTTAAGAAGTTTTGCACTGAAAAACTTAACTTTGAATTAATTTGAAAAATGGAAAAACAAAATAGAATAACATAAACGATGAATTTGATCCATTTTGTCGAAGGGGAAAATAGAATGAATAAGAAAAAATTTAAGATATCTTTGACATTAAAAGTAATTTTAAAGAATGCAACGTTACTAAAAAAGATTAAAATAAATAAGAAATTCCAAATACAAAACAAAACAAAAAAAAACCTTTTTCATCAATACCTTAAATTGCCATGCTTCCTACGCTCAACCAACAAAAATTCTTCGATAAGGTCAAATTTTCCAACCATACATGAAAAAATAAACGACTATTTTGTAGCCTGAAGAAGATACAATAAAAGTATCGAAACGTCGCGACGAATTTAATGTTTTTTTTTATTTCCTGTCCTGTAAACCATCTTCTACGTAATCAGGTTATCTTATTATTTTATTAATATGGAGTTTAAAAACTGAAATTTTCCAGATGCTAAAAATTTAGCAAGACAATCAATAAAAAATATTACACTTTTTTAATCAGACCATAAAAATTATAAAACAATACGCTTTGTCAATAATGAATTTCGATTTATCATGCTTTTAAAATTAGTTATTTACATTAAAACTAGATTTATATATAATTGTTAATTATCTGTAAGGCTTCTAATTTATCATAGTAGAAAATATTTAACTGTGAGAAATATTGGCTGGATCAGCCTGTAGAAACGAAGTTCCTAAGGTTTTGACTTCCACCTGTTTCTCATAGACTGAGTCCAAATTCTGCCATTTTTTTCTTTCACGTGGTCCGATTTATTCGGCAACAGCTGTACTCCGATCTCAAAAAACCGAAGGAAACATCTAAATGACTCACTGACAGTCGCGCCGCTGTGTATATTTTTAATATTCCTTTGTATATTTACATTGGCCAGCGACCCAAACGTGTACGAAGTGGTCGTCTCTATTTTATTATTATTATGTAGAACACGATGAAGGATTTATGAGATGTGAAAAAACAAGGTCTCTGGCCTTAACCCATCGCTCATATTTTGATGTTTTATAATTATTATTTGTGATAACACAAGGCTTTAGATGAACGTGTCACTAGGATCCAATTTATAAAGAAAAAGTACACCTGTTGAGCCAACTTGTTTAGATGGATGTGCTAATCTGGTAAAGTATTTGCCAAATAGAAAGGTTTTATTTAGTGTTTATATTGGGATTTGTGCATCAGGAACTCTATGTAAACATGTGGATTATTTTTGTCATTCTTTCATTACAGTTCGTACTTGAAAAGGATGATAGAGATGAAAAAAAACAAGACGTTTCTGCTTAGAGGTGAGTATTCAAATATCCAAAATATTGTACAATTTAGACCGGCCCTAACCCAAAAATCTTTTCTTTTTTTGATTTGCACATTATCTCATTATCTCAGATTTAAGTTATATTTTAATCTCTCAACAAAACTTTCTTCTTTTTTACTTTCAAAGAATTTTTCTCCATTTTTTCATTTCTTAAACTAGGTTTCCCTTTTCATCTTCTTTTTTTTCAACTTATACATTATACTTGATTTTTTGTTAATACTTTTTCTTCATTTTCCTCATTTTATAACCCACCTTTGAATTTGTCTTTGTTTTCTTTATTCATTACGTTTTACGTTTGTTGAAATTTTGTAAAGTCCTCGAAATGTTCAATCTTTTATCATTTCTTGCTCAGATTTCATTTCAGATTTCTCTTCAGTATTTGTTACCTTGGATTAACTTGTATAGCTAAATAAGCTAATCCGGTAAAGTGTTTGCAGAATCGAAAGTTTTTATTTACTTTTTATATCGGAATTTGTGCATAAGAAACTCTGAATAAACATGTGGAATTTCTGTCATTCTTTCATTACAATTCAAACTTCGAACACAATTTGAGTTAAAAAACAAGACATTTCTAACTTTATGTCCTCTGGATTTTTGCTTTGTATTGAAGACCATGTCGGGTGGATCAATAAAGAACGATTTAATTCAAATTGTTCTAGGAAGTTTCTTGGAGCGAATGTCTCAGTTTTCTTAACTTGCTAAACATACATTTACAGTTTGAAATAAGCTGCTCCAAGAAAGTTAGATAGACCTTTTCAGAAAAAGTGCAACAAAACAATGATAAAATAAATTTGCATTTATCTAGAGAAAATAGTGCACAGATGCCCCTTGATTTGCCATGCTATATCTACTGAGAATACTTTATACTATTAGACTACAAAAAAATATTATTATTATCACCTGACCCGGCAAAGAAATGAGAAAAAATTTGACAAACGATTATTCAAGTCATAATTATCTGGTAAATTATTCTCATAAGATTTACATTCCACTGACCCAGGGGTTTAAACCTGCAGTCAAGCAAGAACTCACCATTACGGTTATTGATATCAAGTAATGATGTTGAAAAATTATTTGATCCGAAAATGATGTATAAAAAACCCATAACAATATAAATTATTTTTATTATTGTATTGCATAAAATTTTATTTTGAAAATTTCTTGTGAAAATTGAACAATACTTTCAAGAAATTTGAAAGTTTGAATTTTGGGAAACTTTATAATATGAGCAATTTTACAGGTAAAAGAAAGCCAGGTACAGATGTGGTACAAAAATTATTAAAATTCGCAATCGAATTAACTTATGTTTTGCACAAAAGAACCATCAAGGATCCAGATTATTAGGATAACTAAAAGTAGTAAAACTAGTTCAATTAGTTCAGCCTGTTTGTCTTGACGACTCAATCAATAATTAATTCACTTAAGTGTAATTAATTATATTATCAAATGTTGATCAAATGATCATTCGTTCGAAATGCCTCAAGTCCGACTCTACAAACATTACTTCCCGGTTATTCTCTGGTCCAAAATCCTCGGAATTTCACCAATCAGCTACAAAGGCAGCCGTATAACCTATTCGAAAATTGGAACTGTCCAAACAATAACCTACTTTGTCATTTTCATAATTTTGACTATCGCTTTTTTCGAGGAACGGTCATCTTTGACCACCCCAATCGAATTGATCGACATTCGTACAATTAGATTCGTTGCGACGTTTCGAACAGTGGCCAACATCACCCTCATGGCGGTACTATTTCTGGGTACTTACATGAGACGTGAGAAATTTCTCACAAGTTTGAAACAAATTCAAAATTTGGAACCCGAGTTTCATAAATTGAACCAAATTGGCACTATTACACGCAACAATAGACAAACACGAAGAATGGTGGTGCTTCTGATTGTTCTCTCGATGAGTTTTAATTTTTTCGGCGATTTTCTCACATTTTTCATGAAAGAAAAACTGGACTTGCTTTGGAGGGAATTTTGTACTTTTGTAGTAATTGTATACCCTCGTCTAGTTGTAAATAATATAAATTTGGGATTTTTGACACTTTTGATGATTCTCGAAGGTCGATTTAAGGTTATTAACGACGTACTCAAGTCCCTTATTAATGACTCTCGGAAAATGAACAAATTTCCGGTAGAATTGAATTTTTGTGACAAAATCAAACATTTGGTCAATCTTCACAAATCTTTGGTGAAAGTCGCCAAAGATCACAATTCGCTTTATTCCTTGCATCTTTTACTTTGGATTACAGTGACTTTTATTCTTCTAGTTGGTGATTCTTATATTGTCATGTATATACTTTTTTTCCACTTATCTGACGTTCGATATATTCTGATTCTGTATTTGGTGAAAAATGTGGTCATGTATGGTATAGAATTGTTTGTTTTGGCAAAAATTGTAACCAACTTATGTCAAGAAGTGAGTGGTTTTTGTCCGTTAATTAGTCTAAAATAATTTTTTCAGGCGAATAATACCAAAAAACTGATTGTAAAAATAAAAATTGACATTGATAAGGAAAATGAAAGGAATGAGGTACTACTTATAAATCGGTTTTTTATTTCTTTATTGTCTTCTTTATTTTAGCTCATTTCGAGTGCATTGAAATTGAGTCAGAGTGATTTAGAAATAACAGCTTGCAAGTTTTTCAGTATTGATAACGCCTTATTATTTTCGGTAAGTACCTACCAATTTTGATACCTTTAGACAGTACTCTTATAGATTTGTGGTGCTTCTTCGTCTTATCTCTTCATAATGATTCAATTGGATCTTGGGAATAAGAAAAATGAAAACGGAACAATTTTGGTAGAGTAATTAATCGAATTGGGATAATTCTTAATTAATATTTTATTGTAGATGGATTTCAATAACTTGACTTTTAATCAAAGTGGTTTCTTCTAAATTTCTTCTAAACTTAATTGTAATTGTAATCCTGTAATCACATATTGCGAAGTAATTTAACATCACTTCACATTTCACATCATCTTTGATATTACTTTAATTAAAACCCACATTGTCTCAATCAATAAACTTAATTAATTACTCACTTATATGAATTTGTTGACAATTATTTAGTTCAATCGAAATGTTTTCATCAAGTTACACTGAAATTTTCGCTCCGATACAAACAGTTTTCAAAATTCTGGCCCTCGAACCTCGTATTGTTATAAACGGCCGTTTGGTATTTTCCAAAATGCGACTTTTGCAAATTTTTATTTACCTCACATCACTCTTTATTGCAATGCTGATTTATTTTAAATTTTATTTCAGTTTTACATTTTTTGGATTTGGGAATATTACTGTTATTAAATTTATCGTAATCTTTCGCAGTGTTAATAACCTGATTTTGGTTTTTGTAATTTTAATTTTTGTTTGTTCTAATAACACGAGAGAATTGGACAAAATTGCCAAGTTGGATTTGTGTTTGGCCAAATTTGGACAATTTATGAAAATTGCAAAAGCAAATCGGGAAGTGAGACAAAAGTCCTTTTGGCTCATTTTTCTTCTCTATTTTTACGTGATTTTTGAGAACATTTTTGTGGTGGTGAAAAAAATACCGGAAGCTCGGGTTTTTTACTATTTGATGGTTGTTTATCCGAAACTGGTCGCAGCGTCTCAAAATATTTTTTTTTATTTAATTACAATGTTGGTAGAGAAACGTTTCAAAATAATCAATGAAAAAATTTCGGAAAAAGTCGTTGAATCGAAAGTGAATCAAAAATCCGTCGACTTAAACTTTTGCGAATTTTTAATAGATTTGATCGAAATTCATAAAACTTTGACTAAAATCATTGAAAAAATAAATTCAGTTTTTGCTTTCCAATTGTTGCTGACAATTGTTTTCAACTTTCTTTTCCTCTTGTTGGATTCTTACACCATTGGTCATTTGATTTTTTTCAAATGGAATTTGAGTAGACTCTATCCAGTTTCTCTCTTGTTAACCAACGTGTTTTCTTACTGTTTTTACATATTTTACTTAGCAAAAAGATGTGAACGAGTTTGTTTAGAAGTAAGTATTAAAATTTCTAAAATATTGATTAAACCTTATAATTTAGGCAAACCGCACCACTTTTATAGTGGCCGGCACTAGAGTAGACTTCCAAAAAGAAGAAGAACGCAATTTGGTAAAATCCTCGACTAAACCTAAAATACTCTAGTTTTCCTTGATTTACACCAAGCTTTATTATTTATGTTTTTGAATTCCATATTCAAATTTTATTTTGATATCTCAACAAAACTTTATCTTTCATGCAGTATTCTACATTTTCCTCTTTTCAGATTCATAGATTTTTTCTTCTTATGACATTTTCTTCGTTTCAACGGTTTCTACTTTGTCTTTAATATCCTCATTTTCCAACCCAGCTTTGCATTTGTCTTCGTTTATTTTTTCATTCATTCCGTTTTATCTTAGATTTTTCTTCAATACTTGTTTTTTTATTTTCTATATTTTTCACAGCTGAATTTTCAGTATATTATTTTCTTTGATAATGACATTTTCTAACAACTCTTTCTTACGAGTTTTATTTTGGTTTTAAATATTCAGTTTGACGTTTTTTTCTGTTTTTGCTCTTTAGTTTAATTCCACTTTTCTCAATTTAGTTACGTCATCATTTTTTATCGCCATGGACTTTCTTGCAAATGCAGCATTTTCTACACTTTTGTTTTAGACTTTCTTTCGTTCTGTTTCTTCTAATTCCAGTTTTAACATATCTATTCTTCGTTTTATGTTATTTAATTTTAAACCTAGTCTTATAAGTAACTTTTCAGATTATCACAGCGATTTTAAACCTGATGAAAAATAAACTAGAACTGACTGCTTGCCGCCTATTCAACATTGACAACACTTTATTATTTTCTGTAAGTCAGAACTTGTGTTATTTTTGTTTAAATTATAATTATTTCAGGTTTGTGGTGTCGCTAGCTCTTATTTGTTTATAATGTTCCAGTTTGATTCAGAGGAATTTACATGTCAGAAAACCAGAAATGGTACTAATAGTAGTTTTTAGTACTCGATATTGTAATAAAAACACTAGTGGTGTTTGAAACTGTTTATTTATTTCTTAATCTAGAGTGGAATTTGTTACATTTCGGAAAGACCTATTCAAGTCCTTATCCATTTGAATCATTATGAAAAGGTAGGAAAAAGCAGCTCCACACATCTAAAAACCAACATTTATGAAATTCAAACTCAAAATCAAACCCACCGAAAAAAGTAAGGCATTATCAATTGCAAAAAGTCTACAAGCCGATATTTGAAGATTAAATTGTCGAAGTTCGAGACTCAAAGTAACAATCTAGAAACCAACATTAGAAAATCATCAAAAAATATTTATTATTACAGTATTCCGTTCCTCTTCGTTGCTTAAATCAAATTTGAATCCAACCAAAATAGCTTTAGTTCGATTTCCCTAAAACTAAGCTCAATTTCTTTAAAACACAAAGTTTGGATTTTTACTTGAAAACAAAGCAGTGAAGATCTTCTCGAAATATAAAACATCTCAATCGAATAAATACAAACGTTTTTTAAAGCTCTCAACATACCTTGCCAGTATTTTAAAAATTGGCCAGTCGAGAGAAAGTAAGCAACAATGTATAAATCTGAAACCAAGCATAAAAAATTGACAGTGACCCAAAGTAGAAAAAATAGTGAAAAAATCGAATTGATTGTTTTACAAATTCGGATCAATTGTTTGTGAATATTGACCAATAATTTCATTTTGTCGCAAAAATTCGAATCGGTGGGATATTTAGTAAAATTTCGTGACTTGAGTTTCTCGCCAAATAGGAAATTATTAACCACTTTGAATCTATCTTCCAGAAGTAAAGTAGTACCAAAATACGTCACACTCATGTTACAACTAATCATTCGTGGATAAAGTAAAGTGAGAGCACCGAAAATGTTGTCAAATTTTGACGAAAAAATTGACACTATGTTCCCAATTAAATACTCCAAAATGACAAGAAAAATCATTTTTTTCCTAATCCTGTGTCCACTTGTCACAAGATGTTGTCCCACTCCCAATTTCGTCAACTCTCTATCAATTCCATATAATCTTCTCAACAAAGAAATAAACTTTTTATAAGTCAAACCAACGGCAAGGAATGTATTAATCATCACAATCGTATATCCAACATAACGAGCGATTGAAATAAATTTCAGAATTTTTAATTCAATAAAATCATTGGGTAAATCGTGAAATAATAACTCGTACGAGTAGTAGCTTTGAGCCACAAAAATGTACAAGATGAGGTAGAAAAAACTCTGACAAAGGCCAAGTTTAGAAAATACAGGTCGGCCATTTTGCATTGTGTAGGGTAGTACACCCAAAATTTTTGAAACGATGAGCTGGGGTGCAAGAATCGACATCAAAGTGAGCGCTTTCATTGTTTCACTCGTACTAGAATTGAAAACCAAATTGGAGTAAAAATACAATATGTATGTACTACACGTGACAATATCACAAAGCCAAAACTCCAAAATCGACCATTGAAAAAATTAAATAAATGGGTTATTGATTGACAGAACTTTTATAAAGTGTGAAACAAAACAACTGAAACCATAGCTAAATAGATAATAGAGTTATCGATTGTAATAAACATAAGTGCCTCATAATAGAAATGGCCCTTGGGGCACACTCACTGTAATGGAATCAGGCATGATTACCATCCAATTTTACGAATGTTTAAAATTCTCGGCGAACTTTTTGGCCTAAACACTGTGACCTATTTTTCAACCTATTTGATTTAATTTTCGACTTAACAATGTTGTGCAAAATCTCACAAAACCAACAATTTTGTAAATTAGTTTTTTCACTAAATGTAGGTACATACCATTTAGCACATATTGTTTTATTGTTTACAAAGAAATAAAGATTTTCACGAGAAACTAAAGTCTGTTTTTTTTAAATGGAAATGCCAAACAGTCTTAACGTTGGTACCACTATTAAATTCATTTCTGGTAATTTTAATAAAAGAAGATGACAGTTCTGGTTTTTTGAATTAATTTGAAAACAATGTCATTAAACGTCAACACAAAAAATCGTCTAAGAAAATTTAGAGACGAAACACCAAAAAAGGAACAAATTCGATACCGCTAACAGTTTTTAGAAATTTGGAAACGAATAGTTCGCAAGCAGGAAGTTAGAACAAGGGCCCGTTAAAATGTAGACGCAATTTGTAATGCAGGTTTGCTAAACATTCTCAATTTTTAGTAAAAATTGACAAGAATACAAAATAAACATGAATCAGAAAGAACCTCGGAAAGAACGCAATTAAATTAGTGTATTGTGCATCATTTTTGAGGAACGAGTTGAAAAAGTAACGATTTTGAAACTAAGGTGAAGAAGCATTTAAAAAATGCATCCTCTTTGAGCTCATTTCAATAAATTACACAAAATTTATTGCCAATCATCATAATACCTACTTGTATCTTTTGCTAAATAAACCTTTTTCTTCAAAGTTTTTGTAGCAAGATCCTCATTTTTGTCCACAAAATTGTACTTATTTGCGGTGTGTTTCAAAGTTATTAGCACTGAATTCTGTCTTTAGACCTTAGGTAATGATGTCTGTCCTCAGGTGTTTAATTATAGTGCTTTCAAAGAGCAAACAGGCACACAAGATTCATAAAAGTCACAATTTTGACAACATCTGAATTTGAATACATAACCATAATTTTTTAACAAAATTTCTAGAGACAAAAACAAAGAGCAAAAAAAATTTGTGGCTATGGAGACAAGCTGCTATAATCCATTTCATTTAAATTGGCATAATAGTAGGCCATGATTGTGTAAACTGCGCTTTAAATGTGAAAAAGGCTTTACATATTAAGGAACTAAATTTGTCACTAAAAAAAGTGTGGTTAAGACACTTAAAATTTTATTTTTCAAGAACCCTCTTTCAAAGGTATTCAGAGACAGTTTTTCTCCATAAAAAGTTTCATCCCTTTGTAGGTGTAGTTTTAACACCAAAAACATACACTATTTGCTTTGTAGAAAATACAGACTTTCGTTGATAATAAGTGGCTTCCAGGAATTTTAAAAGACGTTTTATTCACACCGGAAATGAAACACAATTTATTTTCCGTGAAAGTTGCAGCCAAAAGGGGTTTGGATTTTGTCATTAAAAATGTAGGACAAAATTGTGAATTTTTAAACAATGGTAAAGTTGTTGCGATCGGAGTGGAAAAAGGAAATCTGTACAAAATGAAGCTTCGCGTACTGAAGCCTGAAAAATCGTGTTTTGCCGTGGATAAAATAATTTGGCTTAATTCAAATTGGTATATTTGATTCCACTAACCTAAAATGTCTAAAACAGGAACAAAAAGAAATTGATTATGTTTTCAAACATACCTTAGCGTGTACTTTAAATCTGGGGTTCTGAAGAGAACTACTTTTAATTATAATTTGAAAAAATAGTAGGAATAACGAACAACCAACGAAAACAGTGAAAAAACGAATACAAATGTCAGTCATGTCAGTTAAATAAACCATGTAGGTAAGTGATCAAAGAAAAACAAAAACCTCATCAGTTGTTATATCAGGGATATGCACAGGGCTACAAACTTAAATACGAAATTCCATGGCCACCTATTATGCCAATTTCAATGAAATATACTTTACAAATTTTTTCACCAAAATTTTGACTTGGTAATTTCCATTTAAAAAAAAACAAACTTTAATAAAAATAAAGATTAATTAATATCTATTATCAAGAACAAGAGAATCAACCTGAATAAATTTCGCATACTTACATAGAGGAAAAAACTAAGTTTTTAATGGAAAATGCTATTTTTTTTTTGTATTATTCTTTGATATAAAGTAAAAATATACATATTTTTAACAGGCTTACTCAAAATGATCAAAAAGTATCTACCCTAGCCCTTTTTTTTATCATTTGCGTTCGGAAATAAATAATTAATAAAATTAAAGTGCTATAAAGAATGTGATTGTGTTGAGAATGAAATTTTATTTTGATTTTGAGTTACCTTTGCGATTGCTTTTAGATCAAAAGCTTTTGTAAAAAAGGTTTTATACTGCATTGCCATTAAAAAAAATTTTGTAGAACTCAAAAACAAAACAAAATTTTTAAAAATTTTACTCTTGATAAAACGTCACATTTTTATAGTACTTTATCATTCATCAGTGTCGAGTCTAATGTTGAGTTCCATACTTTTTATTCACTTGGTTTATAATGTATTAAACATTTTTTTAAATACACATATTTTAGTTGTTTATTTATTTTAACTCTTTTTTAAAGTTAAAAATTGAAATGTAAAAAAATCTATTGTTTTAAGGGAATTGTGAGAAAAAATATTTATATTGATCGAGATTGTACCTATAAGAAAGAAACGATTTGATTTTGGAGTAGCAGAAAAAAATGTGACACCAATGACTCTTCGACTAACTTTTTTGACTTACTTTTTACTACGAATTCCCCTCCAAAACTACCCATTTTACCGCAAAAAAATATAAAATAAAATAACCCGCGAACGCCCCCAAACTTGATCCCAAAATTAATAAGTACAGTTCTAACAAAAATTAATAAACTACACTATGTTGTACTTAATGATTTAACGGAAGTTTTTCTATCAAGTAGGCGTACCAGTTGAGGACGTATGTCGCAGTTCGTATGTTAGTTGGATCTCAAAAAATTATTTTGTTAAAATTAAAATATTGTTCTAAACAAATTGAATTATTCTATGAAATGTTTCAAAAAATCCTAAAATGAGATGTTGGCGTTTATTCGTACAAATCGTTCTCCACGTATCCTGTCAATTTACATAAAAATTATTTTGACATTTCTCATTTGTCATTGAGACATTTTATCTTTAGCAGACATACGATTTAAATTTCTACGTTTGCTTGATAGACAGACTTTTTGATCGCACTGTATATTCCCGCAATAATTTCTTCGTATAATAGAGGTTCTACTGTACCAAATATTAAAAAGTAAGCCCGCAACTAACAATACATCAATTCACTTTTAGCGTTTTATGTAAAAGCAGTTGTGCTTGTATTAAGTCTTTGTTGTTACAAATGTAATAATTATTATGTTATTCCGCTATAAAACTAAAATTCTTACTAGGAGAATGTGAAAAAAAACTTAAGTATATTATGCAACCAACTATGCGAATTATCGCTACACATGTTGCCTGCCAACCTCCAGACAATACAAATAAAACAACTGTCTCCCAAGCACAACTGTCACAACATAACCTCATCTTTACACTAAGCTTTGCCGTAAAATGACCGAAGACATCAACCTCAAGTAAAACCAACCCCATATAAATCCACTTAAAACTTACCCACGTTATTTTAGTAAAAATACCGAAGCTCCAATGGAACAACCACCACCGACTCCAACTCAAACAAATGAAGACGCGCCAAGCACAGCCACCGCGATCCCAAAACCAGAAAACGGCGACAAAACAACCAAAACAAATGAACAACAGAGTAACTGCTATTGGTAATCCTGATCCAAAAACCACTCCATTCCAGAATTTTGTAACTTAATAATTTTAGCGGGAAAGACCGAAATTTGAACATTGTGGAATTGTTGTGTGCAAATTGCTCGCGATGGTTCCACGAATCGTGCATAGGGTATCAGTTGGGGAAATTGGTACCCTTCATGGCCAATTATATTTTTTTGTGCAAGAATTGCTCGCCAACGGGATTGGAGAGTTTTAAGAAGAGTCAAGCGCGTAATAAACACTTAAATTTTCTAGTGTTTTTCAGAAAAAAATTTATTGTAGAGATTTCCCAAATGTGTGTCACTGCCATTGCAAATTTGCAACAAAGTAGCCTTAAGGAGGGCTCCAATAGGTTAATGTTTAGCAAAGAGAAGGAGATTATACCATACATTGAGTACCATTGGGAGGCCCTTACCACCACTTCGCGTCGCGTGACCCAGTCTTGGCACTCCACGGTTCACAAAGCCCTCATTAAAGACATCCACGTCCTATTCATTTTTGAGGAAAGTCCCATCAATGGTCAAATGTATGGTTTGATCAATACTGACCTTACCCAAATCAAACCCAATTACGAGGCTATGATCAAAGGAGGTACCCTCAAAGTCACAGACATGGGCATTCAGCATGGTAAGGCGGCTCTGGAACCTAACCTCAAACATATTCATCCCTCATCTCACCCCTTGATTAAAATTTTTCTTTTTTCATTTACAAATACATAAAAATGGCGAGGATTAAAGTAATAGGGAAACGACCTTGTAAGTTTTTCTCGATTAGATTAGATAAAAGTGGTGATTTTTCCCGTAATGGCAGTTCCAGTTGCCGGCGGGGTGAAGTCGCGAAGCGCCAAGAGGAAATTTCCGGGAGACATCAGTGGCGGCGGGAAGAAAGGCCGAGGGGTCGATTTAGGGACCCCCAAACTCCCCGCCCACGGATACCCCCTCGACCATCCCTTTAACAAAGACGGCTACCGGTATTTCTTGGCCGAACCCGACCCCCACGCCCCCTACCGGCAAGAATTCGATGAGAGTTCTGATTGGGCGGGGAAACCCATCCCTGGATGGCTCTACCGGACGCTAATCCCGAGTACTGTGCTGCTGGCGCTCCACGATAGGGCCCCCCAGTTGAAAATTTCAGAAGACAGGTTGGCCGTGACGGGGGAGAAGGGTTATTCGACCGTCAGGGCCACTCATGGTACAAACTTTATTATTATGAATGATTGAATAGTAATTAATGGGTTTGAAGGGGTCACCAAAGGAACATGGTACTGGGAGGCGACCATTGAGGAGATGCCCGAGGGCACCGCTACGAGAATGGGCTGGGGGCAAGACTACGCCAATTTGCAAGCCCCCGTAGGCTACGACAAGTTCGGATATTCGTGGAGGTCCCGAAAAGGCACGAGGTTTCACGAATCGGCGGGGAAGCACTACAGTTTAGGATATGGAGAGGGGGACACTTTGGGTTTTATGATTGTTTTGCCACAAAACGCCAAGACTAAGCTAGTCCCAAATACATACAAAGACAGAGTGAGTCAGTTTGGAGCCCCCATGAGAAATAAAATAATCCGGTTTTAGCCTCTAGTTAAGTTCAAAAGTCACCTCTATTATGAGGATAAAGACCACGTTCCAGAACGGTTAAAATCCCTAAGAGAGCTTCCAGGGAGTAAAATACTATTTTTCAAAAATGGGGAATGTCAAGGAGTCGCTTTTGAAAATATTTATCAAGGGACGTACTACCCCACTGTCTCGATTCATAAAAGTGCGACGGTTTCAATCAATTTTGGGCCGAATTTCAAGTGCCCCCCAGGATCTCAATACGACTATAAAGGGGTAGCTAATCTCATTGTTCAATTTTCTTAAATAAATGACAAAATTTCAGATGCACCAGAAGGCTGAAGAGGCCATTTGCGAGCAAACAATGGCCGATTTACTTTACTTAACTGAGAATGAAGGAAAATTACGCTTAGATAGTTTTGTATTGTGACAATAATGGACAATTTTTTGTTCTATTCTAATTAAGTTTACCAAGTACTAAAACTATTTACCAAATCCGCCCCTGCAATTGGGACTGGATTCGATTACTTGCTCACTGTTACTCCATTGTGATGGGGTTTTGGCGACAATTGAAAGAGCATGGACCCCACTCTTCAATTCTTCTTTTAAAATGTCATTTACTAGCCTATGTCTCTAAAAATTGAAATAAAAAATTATGAAACAACTGATGTGATTTATACTTTGATCAAAGGCAAGTCTGAAAATTTCTCAGAGACAACCACCACTTTGAAATGTGTCTCAGAGCCTTTAGGCACGTTGTGCATGTATGACTCATTTATGACCTCCAAGTGGGTTGTCTGCAACTCTGAACTGAGCTTTGTGCGGATTGAAGTCTCAACAGGGGCTGTACTTTGCGACATATTAAATTTTGCAAAAATATAACCTAAAAATAGTTAGTAGCAAAAAACGTCACAATGGGCAGTGGGAATCACCTGAGGATCTGTTTGTGCGTGAAATATACAACAAAGCTTTCAACATTTCAATTTTATAATAACGGAAAACGAAGATAACCTCATTTTATTTACAGAGATCTGTAATTAATTGCTGACATTTATGACAAGTGACAAATTTTAGACAGAGCCGTAATTACATTTTTTGAAAATTGACTCTTTTACGATTTTGATTAATTTATGCCAACATAGAGAGAATTTTATCGTATTTTTGACTCGGTTTAACAGAGCAATGCTTTCCCGTACACACAATATTTAAACATTAATTAAAGATTTATTAATTTTCTAGTTAAAATTAACTAAAAGACTTAATAATGTTCAAGACTATGGGTTTTGTGGTCTGAACTTTTATGAAACAGTATTTTGTTATTGTGGAACTGCTGATTAGCTGAAAGAACAGGGCCGGATTAAAATAATTGTCATTGTCACAATTTTTTTAATCAATATTATATTATATTATTGTATAGGTTTATTCATAAATATGAAGAATATTTGAACCTCAAAAATGACCTATAAAAAGAGGTTAATTTCAATTTAAATCAGATTTTGATTTCTGTTATTCCTGCAGCCGAAAAAAAAGAAAACTAATTTCCCTTAGGACGCCCCTGATTAAAAATTTCGACATTTCATTTTGGAATTTTTCGAAACAAGTTAATAGGAAACTTTTCTTGTCATGTATAAATTTGTAACAAAAAAAACGGAACATCCTGCATATTCTTTAATAATATGAATTATTATAATTATTATTAAATAGACTTCTTATTTGGCTTTCTCATTTCCTTCTCTATCGACATCAATATAATAAATCCCTTTCGCATTTTTGCTAACCTCATTCCCCATGTAAGCCTTCTCATTACTGTCACACAAACCCAAATTGAACCTTACAACATCCTCACATTTGGTTGCTTCGTACTTCTTTGGCTCTAATATAGTCTCCGAATAGTAGAAATGTGAGCTTTGATGGTTACAAGAAGCTTAAAAATTGAATTAAAACGGTTATGTTAAGACCCCCTAGAAAAGCACAATACCGATATCTTTCAAATCATCTGTACAATTTAATTGAAGAATCCCACCATTAACATAAAAGTCGGCGATTCCAAAAGCCCCAATATATCCCACACCGAGAGCTGTATGAATAAGATCAACAAAACTTGCGTCAGTGTTAGCCAATCGCAGTTCAGGGGGTCTTAAAATTGGAGTTTCAAAAAGGGGGCTAGCGGCGTCCAATCCAGTGATTCTATCAATTTTGGAATTTGCGACGTTTTCCACCCGTTTTCCTGCAAATCCTGAAACTTGAGCACCCAAGGAATGCCCAACTAGATGCACATTATCGAGAAAGTTCTCGACTTGTTTTGACACTTGGACAAGAAAATCGCCGATAATGAAACCAACCGATTGGGTCGCTGATGATGAGTAGATGTAGTTTTTGTTGGCGTCGATTGACCAATCCATTGCAATGACGTTGTAGTTGCCTTTTTTGTTGTAACGAAAAGCCATATCTTGGATCCATGATTCCTTCCCGTTGTCTGTCCAACCATGGGTTATTATTATGGTCGGGTCTGTTGGTACTAGGTACTCCAAGGGGTTATCAGGGTTGAGAGTGATTGTTTCATTACTGGTGCGTTCATACAGGAGGAATTTAACGTTATCTTTTGATATGTCAATGAAAGAGAAATTGTTAGCAACCGCTGCAATGTTGTTGATGGAAACGTTGAAAAGTTGGCTCAAAAAAGAGGAGTCTTCGTTGACCAAACTTTGTGCAAAATTCTCCCTGATTGCCACACTTAACAAAAAGAAAAATGTAAGTCGACACATTGTGTAGGTTTTAATTGGGTGTTTTTTTTTCTTTGCACAACTTTATATACCCAACTCAACTAAATTCGCGTCAGAAATGCCGAAAATTTATTCTAATTTTGATTTATCGTTAAAACATATTTTAAACATAGCATAGCAACAATTATACGACGAATATTTCAAACATGAATATTTTTAATACAGTCCGTTTTTACTTATATGCGTGTGGATCAGTTAATATTTCGAAAGACGTACCAGACATCTATCTCTTTTCAGCATATTGTAAACAGGCTCGGTGCTCTCTCGCTACATATTTGCGTAAGTTCGGTCATTTAAAGTTAAAGTTAAAAGGCCATTAAAGTAATGTAGGGCTAGTGACATACGTCAAAAGCGTATCTTCTTGTCACTTGATTCACACACCCCCACCAGCAATTAAAAAAATTGACTTTATCTATGCAAATTTTTGACTCACCAAGTGATTATAAAAATTTAATTTTTTCTAACAAAAATTTTCGCGACATTTTACTTATATAGGGTGTGTCAGAACTCGCGCCTAGAGAAAAATCTCAAGTACGATAAGATACCAGGAACATGGAAGGAAATTTTGACATTTAGGTTTTGATATTTGACATTTTGATGTCTATTTAATGATACCGATGATCTTATTGTATATGTTTTTTTTTTGTAATTATTTAGTAATGGTACAAAAATTTTACTAATAAAAGCCACAAATAACATTAAAAACAAAGTTACAATTTAGGATACAACTTCTTTGTTTCCTGTTCTAATAGCCTGTAAAAAAACTTGGATTTTTTTTTCTATTTCGGTGTTAGAATAAGTCTATTCCAGCACCCAAATGACGTCATTTGAGTGCTTTGGCGCTAATTTAATTTTAGTGACGGACTTTCTTCACAATTCATTTTCAAATGGGAAAATAAGAATTATTTTTATTTTTTACAGCCGCCTAAAATTATTCCACATAAATGTCGCCAACCGTCGCAAAATTCTCTAGAAAGAAAAAACTAAAATTTTCGTTTTTCAATTTATAAAATGATATAAAGCGGCAAAATAGATAAAATAGTATAAAGCACTTATTACAGAAGGTTCTTCAAGCACTCATTTGTGCTTCCTTCTGCAACTTGTACTTTAATATACTATTCTCCAACAGAAATAAATCGAGTCAAAGTGAAAAACTGAATCTCTCATTACATGACATTTTTCTCTGGGGCACGAGTTTTGGCGCACCCTGTATTGAGATAGCAAGAATTTTGAAACGCTTTCTCTGTAGATAGTTTCTTAAAAGTATGTATCATAAAGTTTACTCCATCAAGCCTGTAGGGTACTTGTCTTTAAATCCTACAACGTGAAGTCTTTCATTTTCACACTTTTACTGTTACTATTGTTATAAATATTAATAATTAAAAATCTGTTGATATAAGTAGACCTGAATTTATTTAAGTATCAGCGAGCTAAAAAATAACTCTAATGAATTACGCAATGTTTTATTCATTCAAAATCACTATAGTTATACAGAGTGGTTATAAATGATTTTCATCTAGCCAACTTTGGAATTTTTTTGCATGTAACTTTATTTGTGCCGCTCTACTTTTTTGAAAGCTCTAGTTCTGTCATTAGTGTCACTTATTAATTAATACTAAATTGTTGTTAATTAAACTTTTATTGTTTCAACTAATTTCCAATAATAATTGATAATAATGTATACTTTGGAAGAAACAAGTTTATAATTGAAGTCTATTTTCGAAGTGGACGCTTAGTAATTTTTTAAATTTTGAGTTAAAACAAGTAGGTACCCCTTTTTCGTAAAGCGGCATTTTTTATTTTACATGGAAAATTCACAGCTGGCTAGATGAAAATCATTTATAACCACTCTGTATTATTTCAGTTATTACGAGTTGTTGAATAATAAATAAATATAGTTATTTTTTTACAAGTACAAAATGATCCATCCAGAAACACTGAGCCTGTTGGCAATACTGAATTTAATTTTTAATTGTACCTCTGATTACTCTAACTTCCGGGAACCTGCTGACATTGACAGCAGTGCATGACTGTCACTGTCAATACTATTTAAAACTTAAAATTTGAAAATCTTGCATCAGTTTTCGAAAATGGAGTTGGAGTTGATGATATATTCATTAGGATGGCATATATTAGAACTGTGATTTATGAATCGAATACTGGTGCGAATACGCGTGTTTTTTTTTTTTAATTTGGCATCAAAGCTATTCATGAAAGTTTGATTGTGAACGAACCATCGTAGTATGAAAGTTATTAATCTGACATTTTACCCTTCGCCGGGCGCATTAAATATTGTAGTCAGTTCACAACACATTCATATCACCGCCAACTATGACGTCAAATTTAAATAAACACCCGTTATATGAGCTTCATTTTTAGATTTTCTTTGAAACAGCTGATAAATCAAAAATTTATATTATCTAAAAGTTGTTTTACATAGAAAAAAAAAGTATTGCAAATGGGTCTTAAAAACGTCAATCTTGTATAAACTGTAAAAAATTGTTTTCCGCTCCCTATTATGTAAATACCCCATTACATACATAGATACGCAGGACGTATATAAATGACTAGTACCTATCATTCGTCTATTAATTTCCTATGAAGATGAAATATAATATATAATAGTGTCAATTACTTTTCTTGGAAAATCATAATGAAAGTAATTTAGAGATTTGGTGTTTTATTAACATAAAGAAATCAGAAATTTGTTATTTTATCAACATCGAACTGAATTTGGAACAGTTTTTATGTGGCGTATTAATCGAATTTGGCGCCCAAAGCTCTAAGAAAATTTTGGCCCCTCCCCCCTATTGATTTTTTTTCTGTTTCACTAACACTTTTTTACATAGTGTTTGATATACCATTCTCTTTTTTGCTGTTTTTTAATTTAATTTAATTTTGTTAATGGTAATGGTGAGTATCAAATTGACTGTAAAATTGTTACTTAATATTGTTATTGTTTATTTATAGTAATTAGTTAATAATACATAATTCAAAAATAGAAAAAAACAACGCGGGATGATTAAAAAATAATGATTGATTCCTGGCTTTTTTGTCAGCAAATACGTTAATAATCTTGTCAAAACTGAGAGCATTAAGCATTTTATTTTCGATGAACTTTATTGCTAGCGTGTTTAATTTAATTATTAGGTAATGTAGATCTGCGGTAGCCTTTTACTTTTTTCAGTGCTGAAAACAATCGTTCACCTGTAAAATTAGTCACTGCTTTAGAAGCGAACATTCTCAACAAAATTACAAGATTAGGGAAGGAGTCGTCAATATTTTTTAGCTTCAATTTTTTTAGTAAATGTATTAGACGAAAGACGTAAAGGTCCTTGATTGCAAGCAATTTGTTTTCCAACTTATGATGAAGATCTTTTTTGTAAGTTTCAACCAACTATGAGCATTTTTCTTTGATTTCCTTCGTGGTGATAACTGGAAAAGAGCTCAAAAATCCGAATTCTTCATTAATCTACAACTACGACTCTTGTCTCTTGGAAAGCTCAGCTTTCAGGTTGTCGATCTGTGGAAAGAAATACCTGGATGCGAAATTTATCTTTTCCGTTGTATTCAACGTCTCGGTCTCATCAAATTGCTTCAATCTCTTCTTTCTTCTTCTACTGACATATTGGTAACTTGCATTGTCACACAATTTGATTGCTTGCAGGATCAATCACAGCTTCATGTTTTTGGTTCACTTGGTCATTAAACATCTCTACCACTCTCTAGTATTATCTTCCAAAAACAGGTCATAATAGCTTTCTAAGTCAAAATTTGAGAAACCCATGTGATTTTCTGAGACTGTGAGCGAACATTGTTCTAAGAAACAATAACCGTGAATTTATTTTGCTCCGACAAATACGATTTTGTAATTTTTTTAAAGAAAAAAAATTCTTTTTCAAAATTTTGCGCACCTTGAAATCTTTGCTCCGCAAGCCCGGACTTCTTAGGCTTCTGCTATAGTACGCCACTGTTTGGACCATAAACTGGACTGACCACATTTTTTTGGCACACCACTTTTAAAAAAATTGAACATGAATTCGTACCTTGCTCTTGATGTATTAAACATAAAACACTGAGAAACAATATTAACTGCTTCATTGTATTTACTTTTGGATTTTGGATGATACGAATATCGTTAACTTTTTGATCATTTTATTTTTGGTAGGTAATCTAGTTACACGCACAGACAACTTTGAACAAAAAAGTCAGAACAACTCATGACGGGTCATTTTGTGCAAATTTAAAGAAATCGGAAGCGGGAAAAACACGGAATGTATCGACTGTTAATATCCTCGGTAAGCGACAAGCCTCGGCTTTGCCTCGGCTCGTCTCGCTTACCTCGAATGTTATCACGTCTTAACATTCCTTGTTATTTAGATAACTATTAACCACTTTTGTGTTATACATTTAAAAAAAATAATTACTTTGTAGGCACGATTCTATATTTTTGTTTAGCTGACGCATAAACGTCCTTTTTATCAGTTTTCGAATTATTAATGACTACTGAAACAAAATAAGTATGATAACCACGAACCACATTCATTATTCCATCGTTAAAAAACTATCTAGCAAAAATAAATTTCAATAAGTACATTTTACGCCAGTTATTGCAAGGCCAAAATAAAAAAATGTTGACAAAATTTTTCCTCCTCGCCATTCTCTCCCAAAGTAAGTTTTTCTTTCAAAAATTTAGTTTTTATTTAACTTCGGAATATTTGAGGCTTTGGTCAAGTCTACGACAACACTTTTGACTGCGAAGACCATATTAGCGAAAGTAACGAAAATGGTACCTTGGAGTACCACAAGTTTGTCACAACGCATGTAAAATTTTTCCTTTATACTCCTCCCCCCGGTAATGAAACAGTCGAACTCAATTCGACTAATTTACATTTAGTAAATATGACCCAACCCACAAAAATCATCATCCATGGTCTCCAGTCATACGAGAATCAAATATGGGTGGACAAAATGGTACAAAACTACCATACGAAAGGCGATTACAACATCATTGCTGTGGATTGGTCTGTCATCTCCTCTGATGAAACTTTTTACCTCGTTTCCGCCGTCGATGATCTCGGTCAATATCTGGGGGACTTCATCATGGAAGTCACCCAAGACAACTACCAGTACCTCTCCGATGTCCATTTAATCGGTTCGTCCCTAGGTGCTCAAATTGCTGGAGCCGCTGGAAACGCAATTTCTAACAAAACAAATAAGAAAGTTGATCGAATAACCGGTTTGGACCCAACTCAACCGGAAAACTTGCAACTTTTGGATGAAAACTCCGCGGAATTCGTCGATGTCATACATACGACGCTCTACTATGACGAGGGAAGTTGTGGGACGGTTGATTTCTATGTCATGGCTGAAGAACCACACCAACCCATTTGTTATAATGGTACTGAAATTTTCTCTTGGGATTTTTCTCGAGATTATTTTTTTAGATACATGTGGAGACCTCTTAGGAGATGACTATTACGCGGTCACTATCATCGATGAGGATAGATTTTATGGGGTTACATGCTATAATGGTTCTCTCGCCGTTCAACGATTGTGTAATAAGGCCAATTCGGCTGTTATGGGAGAGTATGTGCCAAGAAATGTTTCCGGAAGTTATTTGGTAGAGGATTCAGCGACTGTGAATTATTCGGAGAGAAGAGTTTTGCTGTCTATTTTTGCAACATTTGTTTTGTTGCGTTTTATCGTCTAGTTATAAAATATTTGAGATATTTATAAATTTTAAGTCGGTTCAAGAAAGTAGCTTTTTATTGCAATTCTACAGCGTGTTTTAAAATTATTTTCATCTAGTGGCCTATAGAATTTTTTCACATGTAAATTTTTCTGTGCCGCTCTGCGCTTACAGTGACGGCTGTCAAATGAAATAAATTAACATTTGAAGTTAATTAGATTCAATATTTTTCAAAGCGGCATTTTTTATTTTGCATAGGCGACTAGATGAAAATCATTTTAAAACACGCTGTGTATTATACAGAGTGGTTATAAATGATTTTCATCTAGCCAGCTGTGAATTTTCCATGTAAAATAAAAAATACCGCTTTACGAAAATAGGGGTACCTACTTGTTTTAACTCAAAATTAAAAAATCGTCGTTTACTAAGCGTCCACTTCGAAAACTGACATCAATTATAAACTTGTTTTCTTCCAAAGTATACAACATTATCAATTATTATTGGAAATTAGTTGAAACAATAAAAGTTTAATTAACAATTTATTATTAATTAATAAGTGACACTAATGAAAGAACTAGAGCTTTCAAAAAAGTAGAGCGGCACAAATAAAGTTACATGCAAAAAAATTCCAAAGCTGGCTAGATGAAAATCATTTATAACCACTCTGTATAAAACGTTTCAACTTTTTTTTCTGTGTGTTTAATACGTAAACTAAAAAATTAGCTTTAGTGTGTTTATAACTTATTTATTAATAATTGGAATTTTAAGTTCTTTTAATGGTTGTATTATTCTAGCAAAGTTTAGTTCGTAGGCAAATAAACAGTTTAATCATTTTTTTTTTAATTCGAGATATATTATACATTTTTAGTGTATTAATATTTCAGAATTTTTCTACTATAAGACGCCGTTGCCACATTAGTTTTCCCTGAATTGTTTTTATTATTGGTTTTCATAATTATGTCTTTTTGTTTATATAATTACCAAAATTGCATTAACAGAATTCTTCTAGAAGTTTTAATATTAGCAATACTATTACAATATTGCAATACAATAATAAAATTGAAATACAATTGTAATTAAAAAGAAATTGTAAAAAATGTTTTGCAGCTGACTTTTTGAGGTGCAGAAGACTAGAAACATTTGATTTCTCGTAAAAGAAGAATCGGTGTTATTTTACAACTGAACTTTATTGCCAAACTTTGAGTCAAAAGATTCTATTATTTTATACAGAATAAACATCAGATCGAGAATAAAGAGCAACAATGAATTAGCAAGTAAATGAACAAATAATTAGGAGACTTTTCAACTAATGAAATCATAACAACACTTATAAACAAATATCACACGTCAGTATCGGAACTTGGTGAAATTTTTGAAAGTGTTTATTAATTTTACTAGTGAATGACTAGTGCAGTTAGTAGTGTAAAATGTCGAATGCTAATGATCTACAGAAATTGCTAAAGCAGCGAAAGCGACAAGAAACAAACAACATTGGTTTTTAATAATACCATGGCATAAGTAAAAACGCTTAAGCGAAAAAACACAATTTTTACTCGACGCTTGAGGTAAAACTTTTACTTGAGACATTTAGTAATAAAAACTTTTGTAATGTTTATGGATAAAAATTATTTTTCAGTTATACAGGATGATTTTTAAACAACGGCAGGCGCTGAAGAATTTTTATTCATGGCCCGATTTTAAAAATTTAAAAAGTAAGTAATATAGTATAAGCTGACAATTTTAGAAATTTTCTAAATTTCAGTTTATTTTGGGCTATATTCATCTTTCAAATTTAAAATTGGAACCCATTTTTTTTTCTTTATCATTTGGAAGGTATTATTTTTTCTAGTACAGACATGTAAAATATGTTTCACTTTTAGTAAAATTTATTGTTTAAAAAAATGATCAAAGTTAACAAAATATTCAAAGTTAATAAAATCTAATTGCATGGTGTCAAATAAGACAATGTCATTATTGGAGTATCAAAAAGCAGCAAATGAAAGAATATATTGCTAATATTTTTTCAAATTTTTAATTAGAAGTGACCTATAAGAAATCAGAAAAATATCTAATTTAGTGTGATTAATGTGTTTTATTATTATTTATTTATTTATTTTTAACTATTTAACAATAATTTTTTGTAAAAGTGAAACATATTTTGCATGTCTGTACCAAGAAAACTAATATCTTCCAAATTATGTTACCATTTTAAAATTAGAAAGTTGAGTATTGGCCAAAATATGCTATGACATTTACAAAATTTCTAAAATTGTCAGTTTATATTGTAGGATCAAAAACCATTTAATTCAGTATTTTAATTTTTGAAATCGGGTCATAAATAAAAATTCCACAGTGCCTGACGTTTTTTAAAAATCACCCTCTATTTATTTAATCTGTACGTTTTTATTTTATTTTATTCAAAATATAATCTTCTGTTTTAAATTTTTATTTTTTACACACATTTGATTTCAAAAATGCAACGTTGTCATTTTTCGGATACACTGGATTATTAATTAATCATTTTCCCTTGCTGTTAGTTTGCGTATCGCATAAGGGTAACTAAATATCTCAGATTATTTGTTGATAAAACAACTTTATTAAAAAAATTAAAACTGTTGAACGAAAGTAAATGAACACAAGTTGCCAGTAACACAGCCACTTAAAAACCGCCACTGATCAGCCACAATAGCTAAAACATCTTGTACTTGAACCTAATATAAAATTCAGACTCTGTCTTTAAAAATCATGGGCATTTCGCCCTTAGGCGCTAACAAAAACTCGAATTGCAACTCGAGCTCCTCTTCTGTTTGAATTTCAAACATATTAACGGTGGATTCAAGCAACATTGGTAGAATTTGTTCTATAAATCTTTTGCCAGGACAAATCCGCCTCCCGGCTCCGAAAGGAGTGAGTAGAAATTGCGAATTGGTCGCAGTTTGCACTTTATCCTCATCCAACCATCTTTCTGGTTTAAATTTTTGGGCGTCTGTGAAATTGCGTTCGTCTCGACAGGCGATTCCAAAGTGACAGACAACAACAGTTCCTGCATTCAAGCGGTAACCCCCAAGTTCCATTTCCTCCTCCAAAATTCTCCCTAAAGCATTAGCTGTGGGTAGCAGTCGAAAAGTTTCAGTGACGCACGCTTTTGAGTAGGATTTAGTCGAGTCCTCGATGATCTTTTTCTGGATTTGAGGGTCTTGCCCGACCAGATGTAATAAAAACAGTAGACTGTTCTTTAAAGTGTGAATTCCTGCAGACATGAAATCGATAATAGCTGCGATTTTTTCCCTTTCATCGATGTCTGCTTGGATCACCGACTGGAAAACGACACTTTCTTTAGTCGATTCGTTGGCAGAATTGATCAATTCAAGGGCGAGTTTATAGATGGCTTCTTCGCTTTTGATTAGTTTATTGTAGGCAGGAGTTGGTAAGAGTTTCCAGAAGGGGAAGCCGAAGTAAGTGTCACGAGTGCCTAAGAAGTGTTGGCGGACAGCTTCAGCGAGTTTTTCCCCGACTTCGGTTTCAGCTCCGGGAAGTAGAAAACCCATTCTTCTTCCAAGGACTAAAGCACAGGTTAGTTCCAAACCGAGTCTGTCTGCGATGTAATTTAAATTTGATACTTTTCCGGTTTTGTCACGGGTAAGTTTGAGAAGGTTGCACCAGTCGTCGGCTATTTGGTGCACCTCAGGGAGGAAGCTGGTGATGGTTTTAGGGCTGGTGAGGGCAGGGGTGAGATTGCTGCGAAGGTCATACCATGCTTCACCTGAAATTAAAAAACTTACGTAGTAAAACGTAAAAGTAACAAGAAAATACAAAATAGAATAATGAGTCACATCTCAAAATATTTAAAGTTAAAAAAATCTTGTTTAAATTCATTTAGATATTAGTCATCATGTCACACGCTCTAATATTCCTTATCAGTTGTCAATGAACTTCATTCTATTGAACGAAAGTCTTTTTCTTTGCATTCGAAAAGAAATTAAAAAAATATATAAAGTTGTCATGAAATGTAATCGCTATCAAAAACTGAATTTTTGGAAATTTCTCTTTATTTTTCATTTCAGAATTAAAAAAAAAAATGGGATAGGTACCAGACAACAAATAAAATTCCTGAAAAATTTATTTAGTACATGTTCTTTTTTTTCACAATTTAATAGTTATTTGTATTACAAGGGAAAAAAGTATATCTTTCCTTTCCTCCCACAGTTGGAAGTTACTGTTACATATAATTTTTCCTACAATTGGATATAACAAGAAAAACTAACAATTTCTCTTGATATCTCAGTTTTGGCATTAAACCTAGCAGCATGTTTTTCTACGAGGGAAGTAACATTTTTGCCTCCCTGATAGGTTACATACAGTGTGTCTCAGCGAGTTGACAAAGTCAATTACTGACTTTTAAATGGTAAAATTTAAAAAAGTGTATAGGACATTGATAGATACTAATCTAGTACATCACCTAAAATTATTTTCAACCTACAGCATGTCCCAAAAATAAGTTGCGATACAAACTTGATTTTTTTTAAACGATGTATGTTTCTTTTAAAACAATGTTTTTACGCTAAACTTTTATTACATGCACATGCACTTTTTAATAATTCATCACACAAAAACTAAGACAGCTAGAACATATTTTTTTTACTTCTGCAAAGAAGAAAGTACAGAATTTAAAGCTGTAGCAATTTCTTAACTTAAAAAATTTGGCTACTGAAAAAATAGTAATTATTTTTTTTAATGTTTAACGTTAAATATCTTTTTAATTATTGATTTAAATTTTTTAAGTCATTTAACTTTTAACTAACGCCTTCATTTTTTTTATTTTTGCAAATGCAACACACCAAAAAAATTTTATAACCTTATAGCTCATACCGTCTTCTTTGCGGTAGAGAAACACATATTTCTAGATGTCTTAGTTTTGTGTACCTAATACATTTTTAAAAAGTGCATGTTTTCGTCAAAAAAACCGTCTTATTTTTAAAACTAAGCTAAATCGACCAATAAATGTTTAGCTTAAAAACATTGTCATAAAAATCTTCATCCAAAAACGCTAAGAAACATATGGTGTTTTATTTAAAAAAACACAAGTTTGTATTGTAATTTGTTTTCTAAACACGCTGTATAGTTGAAAATAATTTTAGGCGATGGATTAGATTAGTATCTATCAATAGGGCCTATTCTGTAAATACTTATTAAAAAATAAAGATACCTTTAAATTTAAATATTTAAACCCCCAAATTTATAAATAAGCTATTCTGTATGCATAAAATAAAATGGTATTTTTTAAACGGGCCCTTTAAAATATTCGGCTTTCATCGTATTAAATAGAGGAAATGTTATTATTTTGTTATAAATGAACTATTTTTGCTGGTTTTAAATGATGAGCCGACTACGAAAAAATGTCAAGCCAATTTTATTTGTCATTTTCTGTAAAAAAAACGTTCAAAATGCTTAAAGAAAGATTGGCACAAATGACGAAAGCGCAGAAAGAGGTGCACATAAGGTATGCACATTTTAGATCAAACTCATTTTAAAGAATCCAAAATAAGAAAATTCAGAAAAGGCAAAAAAAATTAATTGTTGGGCCTCAGTTTGCAGGCATAGCAAGAAATCGAAAACGAAAAATGTTTGGAATCCTTGGCCAGTAATATTCTTTGCTACAATAATATAGTTGACCTGGATATAAAGGATGTTCGTCTGGGGGAAAAATAATTTTAATATGTGCACAACAGTGTTCCCTTTATTATTTTAAATGCTACCCACAAAATACCCTTTAAAAATTAAGCATTTAAAGGTGAAAAATAAAGGGTGTATTTAAAATTTTAACAGGAAAGATATGTACATACAGAATAGCATCGAAATATTAAATGTGATTTAAAATTTTAAACACCCTTTAAAATTGTTTGTATGATTACAGAATAGGCCCTAATGTCTCTAATCATAAATATTCTATTTTATTACACTTTATCAAATCTTTCAAAATTTATAATAAGTTTTTTGTCGTCGGTGGACTTGAAAAGCTAACAACAAGTGTGCCAATTGTTCCGACCGCTAAAAATCACAAGCGCCAATCTTAAATCCAACAAATTGACAGCGATTATAAAGTTATAAAAACAATAATTCACACAACAATTGGTGTGTATTAACATTGTTGGTGAATTATAGCAAGTCATACACTAGATAACATAGACTTACCCAGACATTCTCGCGTAATTTGAATCTGACTGGTTGAATTTCAGAAATTTGAAAGATTTGATTGGGTTAAAATCCGTGACGTCACGTTAGAAAAAATGTGTATTTGTACGAAAATCCCTTTGTTGTGTAAACAAGTGTAAAGGACGGAAGAAATGATGACGTAGAATTTGGTAATACAAGGTGTTTCACATAACTTTACGAGGCTTGCCTAATGCCTAATGTACGCACCCAAATATACAAAAGTCACAGAACAGAACAAACTAGAGAAGATTATCCAATTTTCCAAAAATTTGTAATCGAGTTCGTATCGGAATATGTATTATTGACTGCATCTTACAAGCGTAGACCTCATAAAATTATGTGAAACACCCTATATTCGAACAAAGGCCTTTTACAACGGAACTGTTACGAAATAGTTTTTGTGCCGTTTTCGAGGAAATTATTACAATAACGAGTCAGTCTTAGCTGAGTTCTTGTACGAATCACTTGTCCGAATAAATTTATTATTTGGGGGTTCTGTGCGAAATCGTATTGAAATGGGGGTGTGTTGTGTTATTTCGAGTGTCTAATAGACATTTAGTAGTGCGCGATTTTTAAAATTTCGAGTGATTAGTGAGTGTCAATGGGGGAAATGGAGAAGACAATCGTGCTACAAGGATCCGGATTAAAAGGTAAGTCAAAAATAACTTCTAATTTTTTAGAAAACTTACACTTGTTAAATTTTATTTTATATTTTTAATTTCAATTTAATAACACATTAAACTGATTTGGTGTTTCTTTATTTTCAGTAGGTCCGTGTAAGAAGCAGATGCGAATTGCTACAAAGGGTAGCAGAAGAAGATGCCATAAAGGTTAGTGTTTTTTTTTGTTTATTGCAATTTTAAGTGTGTGAGTTTGTGATTTTTGAGTGCAACAGTAAGTATTTATTAAATTATGAATAAGAATTAATTATGTTTTAGAGAAAAAGTATTATTTTACAAATTTTACTTCAAAATTTGTAGAAGACGAGTTCAAATTTACTTTCAATTTTTACGTATTAAAGAAACATTGAAAGGAACAAGACCAAGTATTGTACGAATTTAATTTTGTTCCAGAATAAATGGTTAATTTTTGTTTTGTTCCAGAAACTTCAATGACCAGTGAGTGCGTGTTGTGTATTTTTGAGTGTTTAATAGACATTTAGTAGTGCGCGACTTTTAAATTACGAGTGATTAGTGAGTGCCAGTGGGGGAAATGGAGAAGACAATCGTGCTGCAAGGGTCCGGATTAAAGGGTAAGTTAACAATAGCTTTTAGTTTTTTAAAAAAGTTTCACTTATTAAATTGTATTTCATATTTTCAACTATATAATTTAACAACACATAGAACTAATTTTGTGTTTCTTTATTTTCAGTAGGTCCGTGTAAGAAGCAGAGGCAAATTGCTACAAAGGGTAGCTGAGAAGATGCCATAAAGGTTAGTGGATTTTATTTTTTATATTTTTTTGTTTATTGCAAAGTGAAGTGTGTGAGTTTGTGATTTTTGAGTGCAACAGTAAGTATTTATTACATTATGAATAAGATTTAATTATGTTTTAGATAAAAAGTATTATTTTTCAAATTTTTCTTCAAAATTTATAGAAGACCAGTTCAAATTGACTTTAGATTTTTTACGTATTAAAGAAACATTGAAAGGAACAAGACCAAGTATTGTACGAATTTAATTTTGTTCCAGGATAAATGGTTAATTTTTGTTTGTTTCAGGAACTTCAATGACCAGTGAATGCGTGTTGTATATTTTCGAGTGCTTAATAGACATTTAGTAGTGCGCAATTTTTAAAATTTCGAGTGATTAGTAAGTGCCAATGGGGGAAATGAGAAGACAATCGTGCTACAAGGGTCCAGATTAAAGGGTAAGTCAAAAATAACTTCCAATTTTTTAGAAAACTTACACTTGTTAAATTTTATTTTATATTTTTAACTGATTTAATAACACATTGTACTAATTTTGTATTTCTTTATTTTCAGTAGGTCCGTGTAAGAAGCAGAGGCTAATTGCTACAAAGGGTAGCTGAAGAAGATGCCATAAAGGTTAGTGCATTTATTTTATTTTTTTTTGTTTATTGCAAAGTGAAGTGTGAAAATTTGTGATTTTTGACTGCAACAGTAAGTATTTATTGAATTATGAATATGAATTAATTGTATTTTAGATAAAATGTGTTATTTTTTCAAATCCTTTTTCATAATTTGTAGAAAACAAGACTGTTATGTGCCAAACAATTTAAAAGTAAATCTTGAAATTTAAAATTATATTCAAATTTATTTATTGCGATTCAAAAGACAAACTTTTTAAAAACTTGTAATATTGTTAGAAAATGTCTCAATATCAACAAAATTTATTTTAATAACATCAATAATAATAACTTAATTAATAATAATTCATTAAGTTGCGAGGCGGAAGATCTGCAGTGACGCTAGATTGTTTTTTTTACATTAATCTCATTTCAAACAATTTATCAGCAATAATACCCGTAATGGTGAATCTTGCCTGACTGCATATCTAAACCGCTGGGTCAGTGGAGTGTAAAAGTTATTTGTCAGAAAATGAGAATAATTATCTGGCAAATGGTTTCTTCTTCTTTTGCCAGGTCAAATAATAATAATAATAAAATAAGTGAAGTGAAGTGTGTCAATTTGTGATTTTTACAATAAAAAGAATTTACAAAAAAAGTCTAAAATAAATCGTGCGCAAATGTGAATTGGTAGCACTGCATTCCCAAAAATTACAACCGCCAATCTTAAACTCAGCGAAGCAGGACAATTTCAAATTCTAAGTTGTATTAATGCAATAATTGGTTCATTAGAAACCCTTAATCGATTTTTTAATCGATATTTTGTTTTTTAATTAGCGTTGGTGACGATTATATTACTAAAATTCAAAAACACCAACCTGACACAACAAAGACTATTTCATAAAAACAAATAAATAAACCAAATATTTTATAATGCACGATGTTTAACACTCCAACCACTGATTTGCATTTTTCTACACTGGCGACTGACGTTTGTTTCCTTTATTATTTTAAATGCTACCCACAAAATACCCTTTAAAATTTAAGCATTTAAAGGTGAAAAATAAAGGGGGAATTTAAAATGTTAACAGGAAATGTGATTTCAAATTTTAAACACTCTTTAAAATTGTTTGTATGTTTATAGAATAGGCCCTAATGTCCTATTTTTTTTAATTTTACTATTTAAAGGTCACTTAATCGACTTTTTCAACTCGCTGGGACACTCTGTATAATTTTATTATATACAATTTTGGCAGTTGAGAAAGGAAAATGTTTAGCTCCCTGGGAGGTAAATGGCTAGCTACTCTCCTTTCTGAAATTGGGGTAGAAAAACTTACTTTCTGTTAAGGTCGTTGAAAAATAAAAAAAACGCTTTTACGTATATTTAAGAATGTCAGTATAAACTTTTACGGTTAGGAAAACTTGAAAAGAATTAAGAATTATTTTCTAAGTCTAAAAAATAATAGGAAAAAAAAGAAAAAATTCTCAGCAGAAAATTTTCAAAATATTGAGCGGTAAAAAGGGAAAATATAAAATTATCATGGAATACCAACCAGTGTAAAAGAATTTTCTAACAAAATAAATGTTTCGGTTTTAAGGAAATATTGAGCTACAAAAGACAGGTACCTATGCAGACTAAAAAATATCAAAAAATAATATCAGTTTAGGAAATCTCTAGATTTGGAATAAAATATTATAAAATACAGAAATTATTTTACCAACTGAAACTTTAAATCCCCATAATTACAAAATTAATATACCTAGATAGAATTTTGTTAACATTTTTTTTTTGTTTGAAGAGTAGCCTAAAAACATTGATATTCGAATTCGAACATTTATTTTTCAAGAGAGAATTTTTTTCACTTTATTATTTCTTAATTCGACACGTGTGTTTATCGTTTATATTTGTACATAACAAACACAAAATAAAATTATCAATACGTTTATCTCACCTTGCTCGTTTACCAATCCAATGCTGGCGTACCTATCAGGTCGACTTCTTCGGTAGTGTGCCACTGCTTCAACAGGTGGTCTCAGAGGGTACTTGCTACCCGCTTTAAGAACCTTCACAATTTCTCTTTTCTCGAATAAGTTAACAACAGGTATATTGCACCAACACTCCTCTTTCATGACAGGTCCATACCTAAGAAAGAAACGGTCCTAAATCAATACAGTTTTTTTAATTGAGTTGTAATAAAGCAATCAGTAAATAATTCAATCTTGATCAGTATTTAATTAATTTTTGCACAGTAAAAAATTAAAAATGATCAGTATAATATAATATTTTGCACAGTAAAAAGAATAAATGCTAAGTAAAGCACGCACGTAATTTGTTCAGTAAAAATATCCAATTTACATAGTAAAAATAATAAACGCTCAGTAACTTTAATCAAAATTAGTAAAACAACATAAAATTTAAAGAATTTTCAGTCTTGCTTACATAACAATGTATGGTCCTTGCGCAAGAATATTATTTATTATTGGTACTTATTTTTATATTACTGAATATTTATTATTAATGGAGAGTGGTATATTTATTAGCAAGGGCCCCTGCGCAAGAATGATTTTAGCAACGGCTGGAAACTGTGCACAAATGGTAATCAGTCTAATCAGCATACGCCACTGCTGTGCTTCTGATATCACAATTTTGTTTTTGAACGCTTTGCGATATTCCGATTTTGCTCGAAAATATTTTGTTTGTAAATGTGTGAATATTAAATAATTAGTTTTTCTAGACATTTATTATTTTTACTGATCAAAAATATACTGCTCCACTTTTGTATTTTCTCATTTTTTTTAAAATGTTGTCATTCCTGCAGCTACGAAATTACGAAGATTAAAACAAAAATTTTGTTTCGCTATTTGTCTTTCTTATCTTCAATTTACTCAATTGTCATTTGCACACCAAATCTTCAAAATCTTGACCATTTCTAGGAAAATATAAAATGCAATGCTTTAATTACTTCTTAACATAATTTTGTAGTATTTTAACTTCTTATTACGTTTTATTATTAAATAAATTTATTTATGTATTAAATTTCAAATAACAGGTAGGTAACATTTATTTTAAAATTTAACATTTTATACCCATTATTTAATGTCATGGACAATTTGTTGGCGTTATTATAATTAAAAACAGGTAAATATAACAAACTGAAAAACTACTTGTTTAGCGAACACTTTTTATTGTAGAAATGCAACACAAAGAAAAACTGTAAAATGTATGGAACAGAATATCAGAGCTTGTAAGAGAAAATTTGCAACAAAATATAATTTTCAACAAGATTGTATTTAATATAGAAATTAAAGAACGGTCCAAAATACAGCAAAATTCAAACACTTTAAAATAAACAAATAGAAAAAGTTTTTAGAAACTAGAACAAATTTTCAAAAATAATTCAAGCTGGTGAATGATTTTAACTTGAAAATTATGTTATTATTATTGTATTATACCTAAGAAGCTGAATCTAAAAAACAGTTGCCCACTAAAATTAAAAAAAAAAATGTTGTTTATAGTGGGACGATCAATGTATTAGAAATGGGAAGGAAATTTTTTATTTTTTTATATTAATGTTAAATTTAGCGTGTTGCGAGTATTATATTAGTCTGTAACGCCATTAATTTTTTTTATACTTTTAACTTATCCACTAATTTTGTCAACGTGAATAACATTCTATTTTTTTCTGTAACAAAATTAAATACCAGTCAAAAATAAATTAATATTTGTTATTTGTTAACAATAAGGTTTGTTTTAATTTAGATTTTTGCTCAAAACCAAAGATAAAGTATCTATTTTAAATAAGTATTAAATATTTTATCAACGCTTGCGGTTAAAAGTCTTTTTGACCAATTATTTTGGGTAGAACAGCTCTGCTACAGAAAAAATTAAGTGTCCTACCTCTTGTACATGTTCTCGTAATATTCGTGTAGTCGGTTAAAAGTGAACCCTCCGAAAAAAAATATCCAGGTAGTACCAAGCCCAGGTAAAGCCAAAGGTCCCGGTATGAGTTTAACACCTTTATTGCAATCATTATTATTGCGGTACCACCAAGGAGGCCTGTACTCCAAGAACAGGAAGAAGATCGCGATAATGAGTAGACTGGTGACGTCCAACGATTGAAAAATCTTTTCGAACATCTGCAACATTAATAATTGTTACCGATTGAAAGAACGACAACGTTTTGGTGTTTATAAAAATTACGATTTTAATTGTTTATACTAACCTTGGGGTTTCAAAACTGTCGAGACAAGCACTCGATAACCCACACGATTATCGTTTGTGTATTTTAAGACATTAACTGAGATTACCGGCGATTTTAGGTTAAAAGAACGGTCTCGTAGCGTCTTGCTTGGGTCTTTTGTAAATACTGTTGAAGAATGGTTCAACAGCCGCATCTCCAACATTCCAGAGTCTTAACGGAAGTTCTCTTCATCATCTTTTCTGTCATTTCGAGCGATGGAAGCGCGCGATTATTGCGGGGGGGTTCCCAACTTTTTGGGTCCTTGCGCCCGTCTTATCTTATCAGTTAAATACGGTAAGAAGAGTGCTTTATCGGGTCAAGGTTAATGCGACGAGGTCAGAAAATAGAAGATTAATTATTTCTCACGTCAACATCGCACAGATTCGGTTTCAACGTGTCTTCAGCGAGAAGCGTTTTTGCCAACATAGGTAAAAAGACGCGATAATTCTTATCGTGGGTAAATATCGATTAAAACAAGACGTAGTTAGTTTTTTGCAAAAAAGGGAAATGTGACTGCGATTTCATCTTGACTTTCTTGCAATTCAGTGGATAATGTTATGAATCTATGTGGAACGAGAATGCAAGAAAGTGGGTCGAAGCGCACTAGGGCGGAGCGAAATTAGATCTTGTGTTTGAAAAGGGTTTCAAAATGATACAAAAACGTAGGTATATTCAGATTTTAAAAGTACGGTCAAGGTCGACAAGTTTTGTCCTAGCAGGGCGAGCTTTCTCCCTTTCTTAATAATTTACTTGACTGGTTATTCAGGTTGCCCGGAGAAAACGTGAAATATTCTCGAGGGGTGATTTTTTAATGGATAGTAATAAAGCGATCAGTAAATAATTCACTTTTGATCAGTATAAAATGATAATGATCAGTATTTCATTAATTTTTGCACAGTAAAAAATTAAAAATGATCATTATAATATAATATTTTGCACAGTAAAAATAATAAACACTCAGTAACTTTAATCAAATTTATTAAAACAACATAAACTTTAAAGAATTTTCAGTCTTGGTTACATAACAATGTATGGCCCCTGAGCAAGAATGTTATTTATTATTGGTATTTATTTGTATATTACTGAATATTTATTATTATTGGAGAATGGTATACACTGTGTCAATTTTAAAACTTGCAATCGGCAATTTCTCTCAACTGAAAAAATTATTAATAATCACTTAAAACCGTTTTGGTGGTTCCTAGGGGGAATTTAATTGACATGATAAGTGACACACCTCCACCCACCCTTGAATATAGTAAAAAAAATGAAAATTTAACGTCTTCGTTTTTGAATAATTGGAAAAATAACTTTACCAAATAGGCTGTTGTATGACATTTTTGAAAAGCGCTTGTTATGGGCTTTCCAACGATGTATCGCAAGTAGGGTCGTGCCATTTAAAATTTTCAACTTAAGGTGGCTGTGGCTTGAAGGGTGGGTGGAGGAGCGTCACTTACCATGTCTTTTCGATTCCCCCTAAAAACTACCGAAACGGTTTTGATTGATTCTCAATAACTTTTTTAGTTCCAGAGATATTGGCGATTGCAAGTTTTAAAATTGACACCCTGTATGTATTAGCAAAGATCACAGACCAAGAATGATTTTAGCAAGGCTGGAAACTGTGCACAAATGGTAACCAGTCTTATCAGCACACGCCACTCTTTGCACTGCTGTGCTCCTGATACCACAATTTTGTTAAAGATATTCCGATTTTACTCGGAAAAATTTTGTTTGTAAATAAATGTCTGAATATTAAATTAATTAGTTTTGTTAGACATTCATCCTTTATTTATACTGTGCATTTATTATTTTTACTGTACATTTATTGTTTTACTGTGCATTTATTATTTCTACTGTGCATTTATTATTTTTACTGATCAAAAATACTTTTTTTTATTTATTTAAAAGAAAAATTAAGCGACTGAAAGATCTTTTAAAATGGCGAGCAAAAGGTTTTTTTTTCAATTATGGAAATTTTCAACTATCTTAGAAAAGGTTGAGAAAAATTGTAAAAATTTGCGCTCGGATAAGTTTTTAGAAAAACGTGATTTTCTTAAATACGCTTTAATTAAATGCACCCACTTTAATTTTGAAAAACAACTTAAATCTTTTAACTCTTTTTCGGATATTCTAAGTATCTAGACGTATAAAACAATTCTTAGAGATAAAGCAATTAGTACTTAACAAAATTATAAAAATATCTATTTTAAATATTTAATCGGGACTAGGTATGTCTTAAATTAATTTTTAAAATTGAGTCATGAGTTTACAGAAATAGTTTTTCATAAATATATGTCATTAAAAAATATAATTTAGGCAAATCACGTTAAAGCAAAAAAATTTGTAAACAGTGTTTTGTGCAAATAAGTAAGCAAGAGTTCATGAAAAAGAACAATTTGTCTCAGCAAAAGTTTACTTTTGGTGGTAATGAATCAAAATTGAGGAAAATCAAAAATTTTGAAAGCAGGAAACTATCAAATATTTTACTTTTGATATATTACGGTTCATGTCATTAGGGCCAGTTTCATAATACATATAATTAAAGAGACTTTAAAGTTAATGTTAATTGTCTGTCTAAAATTAAAAAGTATCTCAATTAGAATCTCTTACTCTTACAAAAACTTTTTGTCGAAAAACATTAAAAGCCTTTGTCATAATGTGGGTAAATTTCTAAATAATTTAAACTTTTGGTCAATTTAAATTTTGATGCATTACTCATATACTGGGTGTTTTAAAACTTGCGCCCTAGAGAAAAATTTCATGTAAGGTAAGGTACCAGGAACATGGAAAAAATGCTAAAAAAATTTTTTCTACAAAAATTTTAAAGTTATAAGAACTTAAATTGTGCACTTTGATTTTAGTTATTTCTGTTGGAAAAAGAATTTTTCAAGTTTCTTTCCTACAAGCTATAAGAAAAAAAAAAGGAAGCTGTATCCCTAATTATAACTATATTTAACGTAACTTGTGATTTTTATTTGCAAATGTTTTTTTTTTTCTTTACTAAATAATTATAAAAAAACATGTGCAAGAACAACAGTAACAGTAAATAAACATAAATATGTCAAATGTCAAGAAATTATTTTTTTTGACGATAGTATTTTTTTCATGTTCCTGGTATCTTATCGTACTTGAAAATTTTCTCTGGGGCAAGATTTCTAAAACACTGTAGAGCAATTTTTTTCATAAGTTGAAAAGTGCTTCTTGTTAATAACATTAATTTTATTTTACAAATAATTTGCACAAACAAATGATTAATCGGTCAATGTTTATAAAACACTATGCTATTCTTGACGATAAACCACTACTGGGAGAAACTTTTAGCCATTTCATATATATTTCTTTAATAGAAAAGCTTTAAGATTATTTTTCTTTATTAAAATAATTTTCATACAGCTTTACGCAGCATATACAGAGTGAAAGCTGTTAAACTTCAAAAACATCGTGAATGGATTACTGCTCACATAAAATCTGTTTTTGTAAGTTGTCTCTATTTCGATTCTCTAATAGACATATTAAAGAACGCGACGTCATCATATGCGATGTCTCAATAGTCAAAAGAAAAGGCGACTAGATTAAATTTTGACTTTTAAAATTAAAATATTACTAAATCTCACAACAATTTTTTAATTGATTAATTACAAGAAATAGTATTAATATAGGTACTAATTTGAAATGGATATTACGAAACTAAAATTTTACGAAGCGATAACGAACATAGTATTTCCGTTAAAAATAGTCTTCACAAATAACCTTCAGCTCGAGGAAACTTACCTTATCACACAAACTCCAATTTAAAACTACATATTTTTTTAACTGTGTGATGTTAAATTCTATTTGTGGCGCCCAACCAACCAAATCTTTTAAATCATGCAATTTTTAGCAAGGAACTCTATCTTAATCCTTTAAATGTGATAAAAAAATCCTCATATTTACTGCTTATTATTTAATTTTAATTCTTTACATGAGAAAATAAAATACTCGTATTTGCCGGTCAATGCACCAAACCACTTACAAATACAGGCTGTTTCAGAACTCGCACCCCAGAGAAAAATTTCAAGTAAGATAAGATAGCAGAAAAATGGAAAGAGTGATTTTGTATATGTTTTTTTTTTTTATTTAGTAAAGGTACAAAAATTTTGCCCATAAAAGCCACAAATAACATTAAACAGAGTTACAATTTAGGATACAGCTTCCTTGTTTCTTCTTCCAATAGCCTGTAGCAAAAAAAATTTTTTTCGAACAGAATTAGTCAAACAACAAAATTTAAACTCTCATAACTTTGAAATTTTTATAGATAAAATTTTTTAACATTTTTCATTTTTTTTTGATGAGCGGGTTCTGTCGCAGCCTGTATAAAAAATTACAATGGTGGACTGTGAGGTATTATCTGCTTCGTATGCATATCATCATAAGCAATGGTAAAAATGCTCTTCTTCTGAGCAATCGGCAGTCTCGTTAAGGCAATCCCCGAATCCGTATCTTTATCATCTTCCGCTTTCCTCACCGTTGGATATCGAACTTCGAAACGGTGCTCCGAATGTTGAAGTAATGGATGTTCCGGACCCGTTGGTGCTTTTTTCGAATCGACTTTCTTCCTCGAACTCGATTCGGTATCTTGCATCAACCTATTTGTGACTTTTCGTACAGTTTCTTTGATCAGTTTGTCTTCCTTAGATGGCGGTTTTTCGGATTTCACACTAGCAGTGTCTTTGCTTGTTGTAGTTTTGGAATTTTTGTTATACCATTCCATATATCTTGAAGTTCTTTTCACTTTAGGCTTCTTCTTTGACTTTGTTAAATCTGAATGACTTTGTGACTTGGTTTTCTTGGTACCAACTGGTGAAGGTACACGAAGGTCACTCTCCGAATGATATTTGTGTCTTGTCGAGCCTGTGGTTCTCTCCGAACGTGGTGTTATTTCATCTAGACTATCCGAGAAATACTCTTCTCTTTGATACTTTTCATCTTCACTACTGTCACTACGTTCTAACGATGCTGATATTTCCCGCAACACTTCTTTTCGAATGTTTGATTTCGTGGCTTTTTTCTGGCGCAATTCACTGGTTCGAGTTTGACGAATGTTGATTTGTGGTTTAGTTTTACTTTTAACTGGTTTTTCTTCAATTTCTGATTCTTCCTGAATCGGTGTTTTGATTTTCCGAAGATGAGTTCTTCGTCGTCTTGCTCTTGCTCGTATTATTGCCGCCTCATCGTCACTACCGTCACTCGCGTCGTTATCCGACCGAACTCTTCTTCGTGGTGGTCTCAGAAAAAGAGGCTCAGTCTGAGTTTCCTGATCCTGATCGGTTTGTGTCCCCGCAGGCAGCGACTGAGTCTCCAATCTTAAATCTCTTTCTCGTTCTATCAAAATCTGACGAAGTAAAGCATTTTGTTGCCTTAAAGATTGCTCAAGGAGTTCATTCTCGGTTTGTAGTTTTGTAACTGAGTTTGGTAGAGGGACTTGTTTGATGGTTTCGGCCTGTTGTTGGTCTATGAAGCGTCTCATGAGAATATCTTTCCCACTGTCGGTGATGTAATATGTTTGATCGGCTCTTTGGTCGTTTCCTCGAGTTATCAATCTTAAAATATCGGTGTTGCCTTCGCGGATGTAAAATTGCTCTCTTGAAGGTTCTCTTTGTAAAGGTCGATGAATAGTACGTCTTGCTTCAGTTCGGTCAGAACCTCTCTCTTGTTCGTGTCTTTGTAAAGATTCAGCTTCGTTGTCAACCATAATGTGTTCAGGAGACCAAGCTTCACGACGACCGAACCATTCAGCTACTTGAACAGATTTGCTTTCTTTTCCATTACCGGAACCACGAACGACTTTTTTTATTTCGGCAGAAACCACTTTTCGACGTTTCGGGGGGACATACAAAGGACATCCTTGACAAATGCAGCACAGTATTAAAATAATGGCCAATAGGAGAGCCAGGATTATTAAAAGGATCAGAAGCCAGAGGAGATTTCCACCATTTTGGGACGCTTTTTCAATTTGGGTTGCGTGTTTTTCGTCGAAAACTTGTTTGACTGTGTTGACGTCGATAACGTCGTCCGAGTAAGTTGCAGTGGCAACCACCACACTTCTGAAAATGTTAAAATATCATGAGTTTATACTTCTAGGGTAGATTATGAAAAAATAGTTTTATTCACATTGAAACAGAAACAACAAAAAAAAAAACGTATTTTGACTTCATTTTTTGTAAATTCATACACGTGATGTATCAAAAATTAAGTTCTTTGAAATGTCACTTATTTTTTTTAATGTGATACTAATACAGCATAGATATAACATAGTGTCATAAGAGAAAATGGATGTTTCCAGAATCAGAATTTTTACAACTTGACTCATTTAAGATTAACATTAATTATTATTTAATGAACAGCAATGTATAAATCTGTGATGTATTTTCTTATTAACAAATAATATACATATAATATAATATATTTTGTTTTGGCAAAAATGTTCGAACACGAACAAGTCAATTTTCTTTTGTAATCAATACACAAATTACAACTTGATTTAAAAATTTTACGCACTTTGGTTTTTGAGTAATGACGTGATCGACATTTAAAAGAAATCCCTATTTTTTAGTCAATTTGAAAGATCTTTTAATTACTAAAATGACAAACTAAAATATTAAATATTACATAAAATTATCGAAAAAAAAAAATCATACAAAAAGTAAGATACTATCATCAAAAAACGCACATACAGTTTTAAATCAAATAAAGAACAATTAAAGAAGATTTCCGAGAATTAAAATAAGAATCTAGATTAGAATTTACAATTCGCTTTTCACGTCATCAATAATGGTCATTCATTTAATTTTAACATAGTTAATTCAGTAAAAGTCTTACATAAATAGTAAAAAAGTTCTCTTCTTAACTTATTAGAATTTTTTTAAATTCATAAATGTTTCAATATCTTCTATTTCAAATGTGTTAATGAATATACAGGGTGTCAGAACTTGCGCTCTAGAAAAAAATTTCAAGTAAGATAAGATACCAGGAACGTGGAAAAAATGTTTAAAAAATTCTTTTTGTCAAAAAAATTTGACATTTATTTTTTGACATTTTACATTTTTTTATGTCTATTTAATGACACTGATGATCTTGTATATGATTTTTTACAATTATTTATTAAAAGTTCAAAGATCTTGCCCATTAAAGCCACAAATAACAATAGACAGGGTTAGAATTTAGGATACAGCTTTCTTGTTTCTTTTTCTAATAGCTTGTAGCAAAAAAAACTTGGAAAATTGTTTTTCCAACAGAAATAAATATAGTCAAAGTGCAAAATTTAAACGCTCGTGACTTCGAAATTTTTATAAATAGATTTTTTTTAACATTTTTTTCTATCTTCCTGGTTTTTTTCTAGGGCACGAGTTCTGGCGCACTCTGTATCTCTTTCAATACCGCTATCCTTAATCATAAATTTTTGAATAATACAAAATGAAAATAATTTTTCTTTGCAATTTACTTTCTCCTCCTTTACGGTTCTTGTTTTTTGTTTAAATTTTATATGTAGGTTTACAGTTTCTCGCTTTTGTTCTTAAATTTCTCTACGTGAGGGCGTGATTTTATTCTTTGATCTTTGACCTTCAAAAATTTTCCACACCACGCCAGGATTGTTCCAGCTTCAATGGACAATTCCTTTTCAATTTTTTATGTTTAAATTTGTTGTAACAATTTAACTAATAATGTGATATTTTATTAGTTAATTTTAATTTTTTTTAAATTGGTGTTAATCCTTATTGATAAGTTTGTCATAATTTTTTTTTCTAAGGTTAGTTTTTAGCACTGATAGGTTTTCACTCGAAATAGTTTATTGATTCTTCATGTACTAAACTGTGATCAAATTTTAAGTAGGTTTTGACTTTATTAGCTCCAAATTTTACAAATTCCACCCACATCATATCATTTCAACAAAATTAAATCAAATTGAGAATACTGTGTTTAAAAAAATGACCTGTTCGAGCAAATTTGTTCAAACAAAATATTTTCAGTTTTAATAAATAAGATTATTTCATAATTTTTCCGCTTATTGTATAATTAAAAGTAACGTTTGGTTTTTTGTTGTTGAATTTTAAATTAAAATACCTAAATAAAACAACTAAAGATAAAGGAAAAACACGGATCAATTAAAAAAACAAGTAATTTTATATGTATTTGTTTTTACTTACTTTTCTGAATTGTAGCCACTGACATCTTTGGCGCCAGGTTCAGAGCCTAAATAGGGTCTAATTTCATTGATTGTGATCTTGGCACCCGTCAAAACACTCAATTTCTTTTGAAGATCGGCCAAATCTGGATTTTTTCCAGGCACAATAAATACCATACGTCGTGAGTGACTTTCAGGTGGATAAATCCTTATTTCGCACTCACTAAACAATCTTGGAACACCCCCATCCCAAGCCCTTGCAGTAGTAATTATAATATTATTCTCCAACAAAGTTCTAGTAATGACCAACTCTCCAGTTTTTTCGTTCAAGTGGAGATTTTCAATGGGTTTGATCAACTCGTAATGAATTTCATTATTTGGTGGGCTTATATCTTTGTCAACCGCTTTAATAAATGCTTTGGTTGTGAATGCATTTTTGTCGTGATTTAAAATAAATTCATAGACACTTTTCTCGAACTGTGGAGCTTCGTCGTTAATGTCAATAAGATGGACAATGATGCCAGCGGTTGATGTTTGGCCGTTTCCGTCTTCATCAGCAGCTTCAATGAAGAAAGTCAGTGTTGGGTTTTTTTCAGCGTCAAGTCCTGAAGGATCGGAAACAGTGACTAAACCGGTGGTTGGGTCCAAACTGAAAAAATCGCTGCCGTCACCATAAAGTCGCACATACTTGATTTTGCTACCCGGAGCTCTGTCTCTATCTCTCGCTTCAACTCTTAGAACAGTTGTACCAAAAGGTGCGTTTTCTTGAATCGAGGCTTGGTACTCTTCTTGGGTAAATTCGGGTAAATTGTCATTGACATCGTTTAACAACACTTCAAGTTTTGCTTGTGCTGTAAAATTTCCCGTTCCGAGTTCCCTTGCAACGATGTAACATTGCACTGAGCGCCACTTTTCGTAATCTAACAATTTCGGGTCATGGACTCTAACTTCAAATTTTGCTTGTCCCTCTATCACACTTGGAGTTACTTCAAAAGTGTTGTTATTTCCAACAAGTGTTAAAGCGACCACGTTGCCAGGTTGTGCCACAACTTCAGCTTGTGGTAAATTCAGCACAGTTCCACTTGGGGAATTCTCGTCCAAGAGAGTATTGTATTCGTTTGAGCCGAAAATCGGAGTTCCGGGTCGAATTCCGGGAGGTATAAGAGCTAGACTCACTGTGGATGACTGCGCGGGTGGTTCTTCAGGATTAGTGCGGACTTCTTCAGCTATGACTGTTAGAAGAATTGGTTGACCACTATGCGAAATAGCGACGATTTCGGTTAAAGGACGAACGAGTCGAAGTTCACCGGTGTCCTCCGAAATGTTGAAAAAAGGTGTGAAAGGGTTGCCTTCGGGCACTAAACCATATCGTATGTCTCTGGGCTTGCCTCGATCGCCATCTTCGGCGTGGATTCGGAGAACTAAATCGCCAGGAAGCAGACTGGGGCTTAAGGTTGTGGTGGGTGGAGCTAGTGTAAAGATGGGAGGGGTGTCCTGTTCGTCTATGATGGCGACGAGGAGAGACCAACTTGCGATGTTTCGGGTGTCTTCTTTCATTCGGGTCCAAGGGTCCTGAGAAAAAATTAAAAAGATTAAGATTAAAAAATCTTCACAATTTTGCCCATTAGCTAATCTTATGTTCTAAATTCACTCAATGCAAATTACAAGATATTAAACTTGTCGAAAAACTTTGAGCGCTAAATATTATTTACTCTTACTCATATTTACGTTGTCAAAAGCGACAAATCTCATAGTTTTTGTCAGATATTTAGGTAAGAGAGTGTTGTGAACACTGAATAATGTTATAAGTACCTAGTGTATATAGAGGTGATCTGGACCCCCCCCCGCACCACTAAGGTCACGTGGCAGTGACGTAGTATGACGTATAATGGCGCAAAATTCAAAATTTTCAAAATGGCGGCAAAATTTCAAGATGGCGGAAAATTTGATAAAGATTTTGAAATGATGAAGAAAAACACTTCAAAAGGCCGACTTTTTATATTTTTAATGTCTGCACAAACAAAAAACTTGATAAGTTAATCGTCCAAAAGCAATACAGATGACAGAAAGTTTCTTTTCAAATCTTTTATACATTTATATTGGTATCACTTGCAAGACTTGAGAACAACGATTTCGTCTTCTCTATTTTTGCTGAATTTACTAAATTTAATATTGAGAACATTTAAAAATAATATAACTTTTCGTTTAGCACAAAAGAAAAAAAAACGATAAATAAAAGTAAAATATAACAAAGTGGTTAGTGTATGTATATTAAGGATATTACAATGCAGAGTGTAAAGAAAATAGTAAATATGTTCAAAGTTATCAAGTTGTTGAGTTTTGAAAACCATTTGTTGAAAAAAATGGAAATAATGTAATTTAAAGAACATTTTTATATGTTTTTAAGTTCAACAAATAACTAATGCAAAATTTAAAAAAAAGTTGAATACAAAACAGTTTTTTCATTTTGATGAAGATTACACAATGTTCAGAAGCAATAAAATTTTGAGAAAACGTGTTGATGGATCTATTTAAAAATTTACAAGACTTTTGGGGGTACACTACGAGTAAACTGTAAAAAAAACCTGGAAACATTAGTCTCCCCATTATTTTTTGTGAATAAGCGATAAATGTATTAAAACAACAAAGAACTAACTTTCTTTTCTTTTCTTTATCATTGTTAAAGGTGATTTATTTTCAAAAAATTGTAAAAGAATTTATAGTTTCTGTGGGGTCATTGGTTGCTGAGAAATCGATGACCAAAAGGATTGTTTTTCATTAAAAGTCAGAAATCTCAGCGGCAAATTGACGTAAAGAGAAAATAAAAAGAGCAAATTGAAGCTGAGTAAACAGCCTATCGAGCCCATGCATTGATTCAACTTAAAAGATTCTCCGAATTCGCAGACCAAAAAAAATTTTTATTTTGCGATATTTTTTGGGATTGCATAATAACCTTAGCTCAGAAAAGCTTTTTGCTAAAAGATCTCCAAACTAAAAACTTGAAGCTTCAGAATCTCGTTTTCGAAATCTAGATGCGACTAGTTTTCATTGAGATACAGTTTTTCAAAAATTTTTGTTTTTCTAATTTTTTGCAAAAAGTACAAAAAGTTTATATAGGTTATGTCAAAACACGCGCATCCGAGAAAAAATTTAAGGAAGATAAGATACCAGGATGATGGAAAAAATTCTAACTGTCAAAAATTTTTGACATGTTTAATGATACTAATGATCTTGTATACAAGTGCGCCAGAACTTGCGCCCCAGAAAAAATTTCCAAATAAGGTAGATACCAGGAACATGAAAAAAATGTTTAAAATATTCTACCTGTCAAAAAATTTTGACATTAATTTTTTGACATTTTTTTATATCTATATAATGATACTGATGATCTTGTATATGTTTTTTTACAATTATTTAGTATAGGGACAAAAATTTTGCCAATAATAGCCACAAATAACATTGAACAGAGTTACAATTTAGGATACAACTTCTTTGTTTCCTCTTTTAATGGCCTATAGCAAAAAAACTTGGAAAATTATTTTTCCAACAGAAATAAATAGAGTCAAAGTGCAAACTTTAAACCCTTATAACTTCGAAATCTTTATAGATAATTTTTTTTTAACATTTTTTCCATGTTCCTGGTATCATACCTTATATGGCATTTTTCTCTGGGGCACGAGTTCTGGCGCATCCTGTATGTTTTTTTATAATTATTTAATAAAGATACAAAAATTTTGCCAATTAAAGCCACAAATAACATTAAATAGACTTACAATTTAGTATATAGCTTCCTTGTAGAAACCTTGAAGAAGAATCTTCAAATAGCCAAAAACTTGGAAAATTATTGTTCCAACAGAAATAAATAGACTTAAAGTGCAAAATTTATATCATATCTACGAAATTTTTATAGATAGAATTTTTTAACAATTTTTCCATGTTCCTCGTATGTTACCTTACAAAGCATTTTTCTCTGGGGCGCGAATTCTGGCGCACCTTGTATATGTTTAGAATGTATATGTTTGAAGTATCTGAGATAATAACAATAGTTATTTATTCTACGAGTTTGAGTTTGTAAATCGGACGCATTATTTCATCGAGTGGATTTTTAAACCGAGCGGTGTATCATACACGAGGAGGAATAAAGCGTCCGATTTACACTCAAAGGAGTTGAATACAACATTTTATTCTTCAAATTAGACTCAACAAGGTTTTAGTTTGCTTTAAATCTGTTACAAATGATCTGGCGTTTTGTATTGAGAAATGCCAGACAGTTGTCAAAACTTCCTTACACGGGAGAAAAACCGTAAATTTTGACAGTGTCGAAGAATAAAAAAAAATTCACTGAAAAGCTTGGTTTTGGATTAATTAAAAAAATGGAGAAACAAAAGTATAAACGATTTATTTGATCCATTTTTTAGAAAGGGAAAATAGTATACATAATAGAAAATTTTAGACACACTTGATATGTTAAAGAATGCAACGTTATACTAAAAAAGAGTAGAATAAATACAAAATTCCAAATATTATTATACCTACAATACCAACATTATTTTCAATAGATGCTTCAAACCCATTAAAAAGTTTCAGTGGGTGCATTCGTCCCGTAAAAGGGCGTAATTTTTGTAAAGTAATTGAAACTTTGTCTGTGAAATCTTATACCAAAGCTAGAGTGCAAATCGTTTAAGAAAATGTTTTATAAAATTATAATAATAATGTGTTTTATTTTAGATTCAAAGTTTATCTTAGTTAAAAATAACATTAAAAGTAGACTGGTTTAAATACCAAAAAATTTTCTGTTTTTGTGGTAAATAATCATTAGAAATAAATCTCTACAAGTCGGTTTAAAAACTAAAAATTGGCATTTATAAACTGCAAAATTCCTTTTTTTGTTTTTGTTTTAATTAAAAACCGTGGTTGTATCTTATTAATGTCAACGTCACAGACTATTTGGTATTTGTGAACTTTGCGGTCTATTTCAATTAACGGCAGATGAGTCCGGAAAAATGCTACTTTACGGACAGTTTCAGAAAGATGAGTTTACAGAACTTACATTAGCTAAAATGGTTAGATGATGCACATTTGTTGTTTCATAATCCAGCGCTCCTAAAAGCACAATAGTGGCTTGTGCGTCCCTCTCGGTGATCAATTTTTGGTAAAGTCCAAATTGTGGTGCTCCCCACAGTTCCAGAAGCACACCATCTGGTCGATTCGGATTTCCTCTCGCGATTATACTTCCTAATTCCGCGTTTCTTCTGGCACTTTCAGAAACACTCAACAAAGTCGGAGCACCAGGAAAAATCTCGTTAATTGGTGTCGTTGCGTTTGTTGCTCGAAATGAGCAATTCAAACTGGCAGTTTCACCTCTTTGGTTTTGTACAATTACACTGAAGTCGTAAAAAAGATCAGCTTTTAGTTTTCTTCTTAGGACGACATTTGCTTGGCAAATAGAGTTGAGACGAGTGCAGTTGAGGCTGTCGATGCTGACAGTGGTTGGTTCGTTTTGAAGGGAGAAGATGAGAGGGTATTCGAAAGTTGGATCGTGGGCCCGAAGTCTGTAGATTATGGTGCCAACAGCGACGTCGGCAGGGATTAAGATGCCTTGGAGGAGGGCACTGGGATCGAATTGAGGGATTGAAGATGCAACGGAGAGATACGTGAGCCATGTTACAACGACTTTGACCATTTTCTTGTTTACAAACCTTAAAAAAAATATTTACTTACTATTAGTTTAACAACATATAGAGAAATAATCGTTATAACAAATGTAAAGTGTGTCTCAGCAAAAACTAGGCTTAGGTATTTGTTCATATTTCTTTTCTGTGATTAAAGTTGGTCGACAATTTTTTTTTAAATTTTCTCAAGTTTGTTTTATACTCATTTTTGAGTTATTTTTAGTTCCTATAAAAGTACAAAAACGTCATTTTGTACAATTTTAAAGTTTTTCTATTATTTTCCTGATTTTTGGTATCTGGAGTCCATAATAATATCTCCGGAGATAATGGTCGCAACCTCTTATGTTTAATACCGTTGGAAAGCGCTTTTAATTTCTCATCTTACAAGAAAAAGATTGTCGTTTTGAGATGCATAGTTACGGTTTGGGTAGGGAACAAGTTTACATATGACATTGTTAATTTCGGAGGTTTCGAGTGATTTTTTTGGGGCACCCCAAAAAATCGTTCTGTTATTTCAAATTAATTTCTCAAAAATGCTCAAAACTATTCAAAATCATAAAACCTGATGATTGTCGTAGAGTATTGTAACTAGTATCATCGTGGACAGGAGGCTGAGCCCTACTTTAAAACTTTGTCTTTTTTAACAACTTTCTTTAGAAATAATAACACATAAATCTGAACCAAAAGTAACGCACAAAATTCATATTTTTGTTATGTCATTTTTCAAAAAAATCCTCAAAGTTGATTTTATTTTTTTTTAATGCTACATTTGGACATTATACAAATGTCAATTGTCAAAAAATAAATATTCAAAATGTTTTATACAAAGAGCTTTATGTTCTTGTTCTTGCTTTATTTTATAAGGGATACCTAATTGTTTTTTGTTATTTAAAACAGTGAACCAAATGTCAGTTGTTATTAAAAAAAAAAATGACGTTACAACTCAAATGCAAATGACATCATAAATGTCACCCTAATGTCAAAATATAGCATTTAAAAAAATAAACTGGACCGGTTCAAAGATCTTCTTGAAAAAGGATCACTAACAAAGATATAAATTTTGTGCGTTCCTTTTATTTCAGTCTGAATTAGCAATTCGCAATTGAATAAAATTGTTACTATTTTCATTTTTAAACAAACTTTTGTTTGTTCTATCCCCACTAAAAATAAAATTGTTTCTAGCTACGGGTCTGGTGCTGGTGATTTTAAGTCTAGAAAAACCTTATTTCAACGTTTTTCCAACCTAAGGTGTTTACAAATTTATTGTTTGCCATTTTTGTTTTATTTTATGAAATGTAAAAGTAAGTAGTTTTACTTTCACCGCAATATCTTAAACTTGACTCTAATTTGAAAGGTACGAGTATTTGTACTTCTCAAGTCGCGTTTGAAAAAATTTAATGTCACTAATTTATTCAGTTGCGTGATGTTTTTTCAAATTTTTTCAGAAAATAATAATTATTAAAACGAGTGTATGAATAAGCAAACTTTGCTCTAGATTTTTATGGGGTAATTTATGCATGTTTGATAGAACGATAAAATGACGGAGTATTCCAATGTTCGATGCTTCAAGCAACATAAAATCATCAATGGATACAAATCGGGTAAACGTTGGTGTTTCTATTTATAATTCATTAGTTTTATCAGGAACGAATACTACGTACCAATCAATACTGTAATAATTGGAAATCTATTAAAATTTGAGGACGAGTTTCAAAGAAACACTTTGTTAAAATATCTCGAATTAAAATTAAGTGAGAATTATGAGAGTTAGGAATTAGTAAATTTTGCATAGGTACTGAAGCAACAGAAAACTAGGTTATTATTATTTGCGAATTTAAATCTAAAACAAATTTGTGTTGGTATTAAATTTATTAAATAGCAAGAGTTTAGCACTGTTTAGCTATTATTTATTATTTTCCCTGTAGGAAAATTTGCTATACAGTACGTTAATTATATGCAAATAATTTCGCTCTCAAGAGAGGTCAGTAATTTATGAAACTTTACAATAACAGATTTGTTTAAATAATGTTTTTTAGATTATTTTCAAGGATTAGGTTTTTATTATGCGTTACAAATTGTGTTGGGTATGTATCTTTTAATTAAAGGTTTATACTTTTTTAAAACGTTTGAAAGATTTTGAAACATAATTTTTTTAATTTACTTTAATTTTTTATCGATTACTACAAGCAAATAATTTGAATGGCATAACAAATTGGGGGCTACTGAAGCGTAAACAGATGGGAAATATTTAGTAATTGGATCGTAATTTAATAAACACCTAATAAGAAACATAGAAAATTCGTTGAAAAACTTATTTATGAGTAACAAAGTACCATAAAATTTATTTTTTGTTTTTGAAATTCAAACTCATTTTTCAATGGCACACTAAAAAGCTTTAAAAAGTTGAAAATCAGATTCAGGAATGATTAAAGCTATTTTTAAGCAATTTAACTCGTTTTTAAGCAAGAAATCAACAGGCAAAAATTGTTTATGGTCAAAATAAGACGATCTGTCTAGTTTTTTAAACGAGAAATTGTTGGCAATCAATTTATTTTAGCAAGCAAGAGAAGTGCAAAAATTTTTGTTTCCCGCCGAAAAAGGTTAATTTGAGCTATTTCCAAAAGCACCTTGTTTGAATTCTAAAGACATTTTTTTCTACAGGCATTTTTAAATGCTCTGGATGCAATTTTAAAAAAAAATGCCCTATAATTGTGTTATTTTTAATATTACTGGAGATCACAAAAATAAATTTTATCCGCAAACGTCACAAAAATAACCACTTTTATGACAAAATGTCAGAAGTAAAAAATTTATTTTTCAGCCATAAAAGTAAAAATTCTACTTTTGCGTCTAAGCGTTTTTACTTTTACTACAAGATATTATTGACATTTAGAAATGTTGTTTCTTTCGTGTCTCTTTTGCTGCCTCAGCAATTTTTGGACTGGTACATTGTAGGTCATCAATTCATCAGCATTCGACATTTTGCACTACTAACTGCACTAGCTAAATTAATAAACACAAGAAAATCTTAAAACAAATTCCGATGCTGATGCGTGATATTTGTGTATGAGCGTGGTTTTGTTTTCATTCATTACTTGCGTCCTGACTATTTTGTTCATTTACTTTCTAATTATAAAGTTGCTCTTTACTCTCGACCTGAATACGTTTGCAAATAAAATAGTGTATGTTAAAAGTGAGTTCATGTGGCTCAGGTATAATTCACCACAGTGTGTTTTGTTTTTATTGTTACAAATTTAAACAAGTGATAAAATATTCAATTTTACAAAAGTTTCCTATAAACAAGAGGGTATTTTTTACCCTATACCCCCCAGTTTAAGACGCCTCTGATTAAAAATTTCAACATTTAATCTTTAATTTCGTTTAGATGCATAAAGGTTATCTGTTGTTGCAAATTTTGTAATTTTATCTGTAATCGTTTCTGAAATATTGAGAAAAACCAATTAAAGTCGCATCCCTTTCACGGGGTGTAGTTTCCTTATATAAATGTTTTTCGATACATGTTCATAAAATTAAATATTCTATTACTTATTTTAAATTTGTAACAATAAAAACGGATCAACCTTGTATATATATAAAAAATATAAAATGCTAATATAATTTTATGCTTAAATAAATGTTCAACTTCGCCATATAAACTATTAGTTTTACTTCTAAATCATAATATACTATTATTCTTGTTTTTGTTTTACAGACTATTACGCCTTAGTCTGCTGTAGATACGTAAAATCATTTATAGCTATTTATAAATTGTGATTCGTGTGAGTTTTTACTAATTTTAGCATAATTTAAATATTTTATATTAATCGCAATAATATTGACTTTTGTTTATTATTCGCTACCACAATTAAATAAGGTGTTTTAAGACAAAAAATTTGTGAAAGTACATACCTGACTAAGTAATTTAGGCAACTTGAAGATATATGTTTAAAATCTGTACGTAACAACAGTAAAGATTTTGATTACAAAAATATTAAAATTTCGGGAAGCTTTTTCACAATTTTAAAACACAATCGTACAACCACAAAACCATCTCGAATGAATAAATCCATCTTAACACCTCACATTCGACCAGTCTTATAAAAAATCACAGCGTTTTTCCGGACATTTGACTAGCGTTTCTTAAAGTAGGGTATTTCTCCCCTTACATATCCGAGTTTCGTGACGCTAGTTATAATGTATGGGTATGGTAATAAAGGTATTGGTCACTCTGGTCATAGCCGGTCGCCTAGAGACCCCTATACATACAACAGAGATCGACGCCAAGGTGGACTACTTCTTGAAAACGTTACGCTAATAAATGCAAGCAAAGATAACATCTTCTACTTCAAGTAAATTACTACCGTTTCGCTTCTATTTTGCTTCCACGCGAAAGTGAGGAATAATTTCGTGCAAGGAAGTGACAAAAAATGTTGACACTGTTAATAGGGGTTTACATCGACAAACAAATAATTGTTTTGTGTTTAATGTGTCTCGAGGACGCAATTCTTCCTTAGTGTTTGAAGAAATCTCACATCATGCAAAATATGATCGTCTTACACGACCTTAAGAATTAATTGCGCGTTGTGAACAGAGACTAAAAACGTTGTTGCGTGTCTGGTCAAAGATCTAATTATAATTTGAATTAGTCGCAAAGGGTTTAATATGCTTACATCCATTTAACATAATAATATAGTGATTTTTAGTAATCATTCAAATTCAAATCAACTACAAATCGGTAAATTTTCTTTGCAAGGTGTTTTTTTTATACTGGGTGTGTCACAACTCGCGCCCCAGATAAAAATTTTAAGTAAGATAAGATACCAGGAACATGGAAATAATGTTTAAAAAATTCTATCTGTCAAAAAAATTGACATTTGACATTTTTTTATGTCTATTTTATGATACTGATGATCATGTATATGCTCATGCTTTACAATTATTTATCTAGTAAAGGTACAAAAATTTTGCCAATAAAAGCCACAAATAACATTAAACAGAGTTACAATTTAGGATACAGCTTTCTTGTTTCTTCTTTTAATAGCCCATAGCAAAAAAAAAACTTAAAAAATTATTTTTCCAACAGAAATAAATAGAGTCAAAGTGCAAAGTTAGTTAAGTTCACAATTTTTATATAGATAGAATTTTTTCAACATGTTTTCCATGTTCTTGGTATCTTATCTTACCTTACTTCTGGGACGCAAGTTCTAGCCCATTCTGTATAGTTGTGTAGAAATTTTAAGAAGTGATACAGATCTAAAAAAATCAACAAAATTTTGCTTTATCCGAATCCGAATGTCTTTGAGATAGGGCTTCATTTTAGAGTCGGAAAATTAGTCAAAAAATGTCATTTAAACAAAGTTTGCATTTTTTGAGTACTTTATTTCAAAGTTTACATTGCTAATAGTCGCTAACATTTAAGGTAATAAAATTCGACAAAAAAATAGGTGCAAAATTGTTTTTTGGAGGATTCTTATTTCTGCTGGTGTTTTATTTATTTTAACTATTTTTCTTAAGTGTAATAATTTCGAAGAACTACCTTTATAGAAAACATATTTGTTTAATTTTTGCTGCGCGCTAAATTTAAATTTTGAGACTAAAACTTTTTACCTCTCAGAAACTATAAATATTAGAATTCAACAAGATGATTTATTTTCTCATCTTTTGTCCTCCATTATACACGGTGATTAAAAAATGACGGATAAGCTCGTTCGTTTGTTATGGTAAATTTAGTTAAAAATTACAAAAAAATAATTAAAAAATTTTGTAAACCAAAGTATAGAAACTATTAAGCTTCAAAGTTGACCAAAAAATTTTATAATTCTGGCCTATGTTTTGTTACCTTTTCTAAAACATAGAGAATTATTTATGTATAAATTTACTTGTGTTCGACCTGAACAAGTAATTAAAAAAAAGTTAGGTGTAAATTATATCTGACTACATTGGATAAGAATTATTTTAATATCAATTAGTTTTCTTTTGTTTCTTGGGAAACAGAAATAACCTTAATTGTTTGCTACTTTTATTATTTTTGCTCCTACATTACTACGTTGCCCGTTTAGAAAAATTCATAATTCATTATAGTCCAAGAGGTTTTTTTTTAACATTTTTTACGGACTCTCTAAAGCTTTTACAAAAATGCATCATCAAGGTTATCCGTCATCCGTCACCTCTGCACAATTATTAAAATCACCCTGTATAAGAAGATAAATTAGAACAAGAAAACATTTACTGTCACTTGGGAGAGTGTACAAACAACATAAAACAAATAGTGGAGAAGTTTATAATTTACCTCTATCACCAAAAATTATAACTAATAAAACTAACAAACCACTTCAAAATTTTCAAATTTTGTAATTTTGGCGTACAATTGTGACTAATTTTGTTAGCGCAAGTTTTGAAAATTTTTGAAAAGTGATATGTTATTCAGAGTAGAAACTGTTAAGTTTTTTTCAGACTTTACAATTTTTATAAACTACCAATTTTCATACAAAAGACGTAGATAATTAAATCTAATAATAATTTCGTAGTTAATTGATTTAAATGTTACATTTTTTAATTTAAACACAAACATTTATAGACAAAATAAAAATTACCAAGAATGTCTCTTAATCGATATCTTTATAATACATAATAAAGTTTAAAATAGAAAGTTCATTGTTCGCGATCTAGTTTTCTGAATCAAACTAGCCATTTTGATGTCACAGTTCGATCAAATTTTTTGTTCCTTAATTATTAATAATTTTGAATGTTGACACTGGTAAGATATACTTAATTTATTTAGAGCAGGTTTGAAGAAATATCGATCCAAAATAATTTTAATCGTATCGCAGTTTTTTGTAAATATATTATTACTAGCAAAATTGAGGACTCAAAATTTTACAGAAACATAATACGTTTCATTTGCATTTTGTAATAATCGCTTTCATCAAGTGATGATTTATTGTTGCAATTCTCACACACACAAAAAGTGTTTATTGAAAAGCTTATCGGGTAATAAATAATGATCTTGACTTTTACCTTTGCTCCGGTCATTTAGTGAAAGATTAATACATTCCTGTTAATTTTATTGATACATTTAAGACTGTTCATTAAAAAATAAACAAAAAAAATTTCTTGATGCATGATGATACTTTTATTTAAATTAAAACTCGCAAGTGTATGTTTTTTAGTTTACTAATTAATGAAACAATTTAAAAAAAAATAAAAAATTGATTAATGAAACAATTTGAAAAATACTACTATTCTTATAAAATTCTAATATTTTGTCATAAGACTTAATAACAGCATTTTTTTAAAGTTACGCACCATTATAGTATGTTATTTAGTTGTTTTGTACAATAACTGGAATAATTTAAAATTTTATATTTGAACACAAAAATTCAAGACTGTAAATAAGGTGATTTTTAATTCATTAATTAAGTAATAAATAATAATACCACTAATACATTGTTCCAATGAATAGCTATTAATTTACATAACTTTTTTTCTTATGTAAAGAAAGTGGTCATTAAAAACTGTAACCTCTTATGATCAATTTGTTTCTTTTGGTTTTTATTTTTTTTTCCTTTCTCCAAATCTATGAAACTGTTCACTTTACTTTCTCATCCATTCAACGTTAAAAAGGAAAGTGATTACTGATCACGAATCAGACAAGTCAACCTCCTATACCGTTCATTTCGACAGAATGAAGAAAAAATACAAAATTATACAAAAGTAAGAAAAGTTTAATCAGAACAGAACTTAATAAATAGTCAACAGTCAACAAAAAGTACAACAACAGAAATTGTAACAAAGGTATACAATCAAGCTGATCCCTGATGATCTCCAAGGCCACTCGAAGAAGGTGCTACAAAACCCCATTTGTAGCCGCCTCCGCCTCCGCCGCCACCTCCACCGAGTGAACCGCCACCTTGACTAGCCCCCAGCACGTCGGAATAGTGACCATGGCCAAATGTAATGTAACTTGGGTGAGATGGAATGTCTCCGTCGGCGATTTTATGGGCGACGCCTCCGGCTTGCCCTTCATACTTGGCAGAAGCCACGAAGCTGCCTCCGAAAGGACCGTGATGGCCGCCGCCACCTTTAATAAAATGTAGTTTGTAAAAAAATTGAAAATTCGTTAGTTTTAAATTAAAATCTTTGACAAACACCGTCACTTTTGATTTTTTTAATAGTAATTTTAATATACCAGGTAAATAAAAAGTATGGAACCAAATGTTTTTGGCTTAAAGTATTTATTTTTTGGAAAAAATAATTGATAAATGGTAAAGTACTATAAAATGTAATGCTTTACCAAAAATAAAATTTTTCGAATTTTTTTTTTTTGTTTCTGGATTCTATAAAAAATTTTATATTTTTTAAATGGCGACTTACCAATTTTCAGAAAAAATTTCAACAACGCCATCTAATCATAGTGTTAGGATTTATTCTTAGCTCTTAAGAAATTTTTGATATAGAAATAAAACTATAAAACCATTTTTTTCATGAAGGTTATTACAACTATCAACTTTCTACTTAATTTTCCCCAAAAAAAAGTAAAGTTTACATAAATTACAATTTTAACCAAAAAAATCGCATAACTCAAAAACAAAATTTTGTTCTCAAAATACGATCACATTTTTTATATTATTACTTTCATTTATATTA